CAAAACAAATCTCCCCCATCCACCGCAACTTGGCGGAGACTCGCACTTGAGCCTTTTACTTTCGGTTTTGGTCCACCAGCTTCAAAATCTATATTGTTTGTTATTGAAATTGAAAATATATTTTCTCACGTAACTGCAATTGAGCGAACAGTGTAGAATTTTAGCAACCAGGAAATGACAGAGCGATTTCTACATTGGCAATTTAACCCGATTTCCCTAGACAACACAGCAATAAAGTCAAAACAGCTTTCCCATTTTAACAACAGATGTCAGCCCAGCGGGAGAAATCAATAGATGAATATCACAAAACTGGCGGGTAAGTAATACTGTGAAACACTATCATTCCACTATTGCTGCAGATATATTATGAACATTTTCTGAAATTACAATGCAAAAATTCCAGAATATCCTATGTGTAGCACCTTTAAGCAAAATTGTCCATTTGTCACATCCCTACTAGTAACATTTACTGAGGTAGCCTAGCGGTTAAGAGCATTGGGCCAGTAACCACAGGTCCTTGAGCAAGGCACTTAACTCTAATTTCTCCTGTAAATCGCTCTGGATAAGAGTGTCTGCTAAATGTTTTTTTTATTTAAGCATGGGATAGGTTACTGTAGCTAGCTTCCTTATATCATGTCTCAGGTAACATCAGAAGACCTTGCACGCATTGGGTAAACTGCATGTGAAGCTTGTTTGAGGTGAACTCAAACAAACTCATGACATGATAGTAAACTAGCTAGCCAGCAGATTACGACCCTACCATTACGCTTGTTTACACTGAGCGGCACTGGGTCAAACACATACCTCAATCCAGGGATTAGAAATTGCATTGTACTCCGAATTGTCCTATTATCCTAACTGTTACACCGGGAAGATTGAACAAATGCAAGTTTTTCCGGAAAACTGCCTTTTCATCCTCATGCTAGCTAGCAGTAGCCACAGCAGCCATTGTGGGATAAACTAGCAGTTTTTCAATCTTCTTGATGTATCAGTTTGGATATAGGTCAAATTTGGAGAACAGTGGCACATCCCATCCCTGCATTGAGGTACGTTTTCCGACCTATATCTCGTTCCTGCTCCGCATTGTCTTAATCTAACCATTATTGCGTTCGACCCCAGTGCAGCTCACCATAAACAATCGTAATATCAGTAGGGTCGGAATCTGCTGGCTAGTAAACTTGCTAGCTAGCTACACGCCCAACTCCAGGTTTGCTAGCTAGCTACATTGGGGGAGTTTTGCATCCTGACTGTAGCTACCTAGCTAGCTATGTAGGCTAACTACCTAACGTTAGCTACAGAAGACTAGCTAGTATCAATGCAAAAATAGTGGATGAGATTGGGAAGACAAAACAGTGCATGACAGTTGTGAAAGTGTTTTTCAACCAATGTCAATGTGGGCTTGCTGGCTAGTTCGCTAGATCATTTTGACAAGATTGAACAAAACGCTTGAGTCTAATTTAATTAGCTAGCTAACTAGCTAGGTAGTTACCCAGCAAGCTTTCACTAAAGTAAAATGGTTGACGTGCTCTTGAAAAATGTCTTCATTTATCCTCAACACACAAAATGTAATACGCCATCTGTTTTAGCTAATAACAGGCAACTAAACAATGACCGGATAGCTGGCTAGCTAAATTAGCTTTCTTTCTTGCTAACGTTATCTAAACCATCCATGCGCACACCAAACCAAGACTCGTCGTATATCGTATCATTATGCATTCTGTAGTTGCTCAGTTGGCTGTACACATATCAAATACACAATTTAGCTACAGAAATGTAATTTAGCCCATACCATTGTCTGCATCTAGCTAGCTAGCTAGCTATGAAAATAGCGCGATGGTTCAATCGAGCTGGCCCATCTCCTCCCCCAGAATTCTAATCTGTAATTTCACAATTTGTACAGTCATAAAGTCACGTGTTTACAAAAGACACGGTTTTATGTTTGAATGTTTATAAATATTACAATAACATGAGGCATACCTTACCAACATCCACGTTTAAATTGTTTTACTGTGTCAATCCCGGAATATGGTTATTCCCCGGTTAATCCAACCGAAACTGTTGGGTAGAATTCCCATCTAAAATCTAGCATTAATATCGGGTTTTCGAAACCTTGTAATCTGAATCATTATTGCACAAAATTCGCTAGCAAAACGTTATCGCCGAGATTATTTTTCAATTTCCCCTGTTTTTTCTATTTCCTTTAACAGTGGAGTGTGTCCGCTTTCTTTGTTCTGTAGCTAATCCATTAAAATTGAAACTCATTCGCCTCTGCTAATCCCAGCCCAACTCAACAACAGCATCTATTGGCTGTAATTTACATATAGCTAGGATTAAGGAACCTCTGGGAAACCATGGGGGAAAACTCGCCTGGAGAGGGACGTGATGAGACAAACAGGATATTTTACTTTTCAGATGTAAACCTGTTGTAAAAACAAACAAACAAATATCACAGTCTGCATTAAACATTTAACTAAATAACTAAATGTTTAGATTTGACTGCACAAAAATTGGTTTTAAAACTAATTGGGACTAATATAATTTATTATAAAGGAGTATTATATATAATGGACAATGTATTATTTGCCAGGTTAATTTAGGTGCTTTTTAGAATTGACTCTCTACTATAGTGAAAAAGAAATACCTAAAATATACAATTTCAACATGTAATATGATAACAATACTTTACCTCTGTATGATATCAAGTTGAATTGTGAACTATTTTGGTCAGCCACTTGAGCAGTGCCCTAACTGTCCCTATGCATGTGATCTGGCTCGCTTCATATACTTGGTGACATTGGCCATGTGCATAAATCATGAATAGCAGCCTACTTTGCCCCTAGTGTTTGAGTGCAGTATTGTACTCTGTCTGGTCCAACTTTTAGAAGTACATTTCTGAACACCTTCACACCATTTGTTGCTGCACTTTTTTTGGCTTCACAGTCTCTATCATGGCAATTTTCCCATGAATGATACATCACTTCCACAACTGAGCCAAATGGTTATTGTGACACCATTAGTCATCAATGGGAGCTAGTGTTAGCAGTGTGTGTGTGTGTGTGTGTGCCTGCATGCGGGCACCAAGTAAGAACACTACAAACAGGATTTATTTGTGAGTGAGAAAATTGTAAATGGGTGAATAGGTGTTCAATAAAGGCCTAATCTCAGTTAACCCAGAACTAAAGCCTTGCGTATTTGGTCAGCTGCTCATTACGTAGTCTGCCCACGAGAGATGAATAAAGGCCTAACAACACATCAGAAAATATCATGTCCACATGAAATAAAACACCATAATCCTTTGCCCACATTGTTAACATTTAATGACTCAATCTCTGAAATCATTACAGCAATTAAGGGTATGAAGTGTTTCCTATCTGAAAAAGGCAATATACAATATCCAATGACAATTTGTAGCTTCAGTTTCGCTGACCGGAGGCCAGCCCTACACTTTGTCTATGAAATGTCAATCCAAAGTCTTACATTCCACATTACTCACATCAAAATAATGTTCTCCCAAAGACAGAGTCGGCGTTCCAAATGGTGCACTACTTTTGACCAGCGATAGGGCCCTGGTCAAAAGTAGCGCACAATATAAAGTGAGCTCCAAAAGTATTGGGACAGTGACATTTTTTGTTGTTGTTTTGGCTCTGTACTTCAGCACTTTGGATTTGAAATGGTACAATGACTATGAGGTTATTGTGAAGACTGTCAGCTTTAATTTGACTGTATTTTCTTTCCAAATCGGGTGAACCATTTAGAAATTACAGCACTTTCTGTACATAGTCCCCCCATTTTAGGGGACCAAAAGTATTGGGACAAATTCACTTATATGTGTATTAAAGTAGGATTAAGTGAAGTATTTGGTCCCATATTCATAGCATGCAATAACTACATCAATCTTGTGACTCTACACATTTGTTGGATGCATTTGCTGTTTGTTTTGGTTGTGTTTCAGATAATTTTGTGCCCAATAGAAGTGAATGGTAAATAATGTATCGTGTCATTTTGGAGTCACTTTTATTGTAAATAAGAATGTAATATGTTTCTAAACACTTCTACATTAATGTGGATGCTACCATGATTACGGATCATCCTGAATGATTCGTGAATAATGATGAGGGAGAAAGTTACAGAGGCATAAATATCATACCCCCCAAAAATGCTAACCTCCCCTGTTATTGTAATGGTGAGAGGTTAGCATGTCTTGGGGGTATGATATTTGTGCGTCTGTAACTTTCTCACTCATCATTATTCACAATTAATTCAGGATTATCCGTAATCATGGTAGCATCCACATTAATGTAGAAGTGTTTAGAAACATATTCTATTCTTATTTACAATAAAAGTGACTTCAAAATGACACAATACAATCTGAAACACAACCAAAACAAACAGCAAATGCATTCAAGCTTAATGTAGTCATTGTGTGCTATGAATATGGGACCAAATACTTAACTTTTTACTACTTGAATACACATATAAGTGAATTTGTCCCAATACTTTTGGTCCCCTAAAACGGGGGGATTATGTACAGAAAGTGCTGTAATTTCTAAATGGTTCACCCGATTTGGAAAGAAAATACAGTCAAATTAAAGCTGACAGTCTTCACTTTAACCTCATAGTCAGTGTACCATTTCAAATCCAAAGTGCTGGAGTAAAGAGACAAAACAACAAAACATTTGTCACTGTCCAAATACTTTTGGAGCTCACTGTACGTAGGGAATAGGGTGCCATTTGAGACACAGCCAGAATATCAACTAACCTCCCAAGAATACAGTAATGGACTGCACTTAGAATCTGCCCGTTGGCTTGTTCAATGGAGATAATAACATTTGGAAGACCGTAATGTATCAATTCTGTACGTTGTGATTAGGAGTTGTTTACATCCAGAAGGGAGGGAGCATCCAGAAGGGAGGGAGCATCCAGAAGGGAAGAAGCAGTTACAGTAGGGCTCCATCCTTAATGGCACTCTATTCCCTATATATTTCTCGACTTTTCTGGTCAAAAATAGTGCACTATATAGGGAATAGGGTGCCATTTGGGACAAAGGCCTTGAATGTTCCATTGTTTGTATCGTGCTCCAAACAGCCGTTGAGTGGCCTACTCGAATCAAAGGACAAAGTGATCCCAAGGCATTGATCCAGGTTGAAATTTCACAAACATTGGGTCAAATGTCTTTAGATAAATGATCAACACTTGAATTATTATTTTTTTCGCGTGTATGAAAACACTACAAAGTGGTGCGGTTTCCCACTATCCAGTAAAGCCATAGTGGAATTAAAGGATAACTCAGTTCAAATGAGTAAACCATTAAACTGATAGCTATTTGGTGCACATACGACACCGAGTTGGATTGGTTCAGTTGGCTAAATACACTTTTACAGTATGCACAAGTTTCCGATATTGCAGCTATATTCATATGTAGACATAACATCAGCCTAAATCCAGCAGCATCCCCGTTTCATTCACATGTTCGCTACAGAGCATGTTCGCTATGAAAAAATGTGAATGTCACTGGCCAAATCAAATCAGCTACAATAATCTAAGGATAAAAAATAAGTGTGGCAAATAAATAAAACAAAAAGTGATGGATTGAAGCCAAATTCTTCATCTTTGTTTTCAATCAGACACCAGAGTAATTTCATTCTCTGGAGTCACAATTCGTAATTCTCGAACTGATACATACCATGACTCGTCGGGTCATGATCTCTAATAAACTAAGATAAAAGGTTATCCCATGTCCAAATGTCCAATACCATCCTTGGGTATGTAGGCAGGGTATGTATCAGTTTTCAAAAGTCATACCTATAATTTTTCACCTCCATCTCCGTCAACCATTTTACAGTATCTTCAAGCTGTCTTAAGTTTGGCTAATGGGTGTTTTTCTTTTTTGCAACAGATGAATGTATATATTGAGATAGAGAGACATTGTTTTGGTAGTAACTGTAACAGAACATGTAGTCTGGAGTCCAGTGGAGTGCTAGTCCCAAGTCGTACCGACTTCTTCTTCTTTTAAAATGTACCTCTGCATTTCCCCAATTCAAGATGGGATCTTCTTCTCCTATATCAGTGTTGTTCCTGGGGAGCAAGCCATAAAATTGAAGAAGACGCTCAAATAATGTAGCAAATACATATCAGTCAGAGTATTCATTTAGGGCACAGACTAAGCCTCGTCTTGGAATAAAAAGCATTTTAAATGGAGATTCTCTATTGAGCATGCTTTTAAGTCTAGAACTAGGCTTTATCTGTGTTAGGTAAACCGTCCGTTAATGTTGTATTTATGTAACTCATTGTGGGAATGGCAATAATGGCATTTAGTAAATCTCTAGACAGTGAGTAACTAACTGATCTATAACTGATCTATGGAGTTAAGATAAATGTAATTGATGTGACATATAACATGTGTGATTGATGTGTTATTATGATTAATTAATACCTACATCTTGAGTAAAGGAAGAATTCTGTTGATGAATCCCATTGGCTGAATTTGCACCACCATGCACCTGGAAGAGAATCATGAAAGAAGCGTGCATTTTACGTTACTCAAACGCATATATCCTGACTTTTGTATTGAACAGCCTTCGGTACCACTTAATATTAAATTACACTGAAACCATGTATTTATGTGGTAGTTACAAAGGCAAGTACAGTGTAATTACAGTGTTAGTACTTTGCTACATGGTACATACACTGTTTGCCGTTCAAGAAACAAGTTTTTTTAGATTTGCCAATCAAACTCATGTTACAGTTGCGGGACAGGTTTCTGTGACAAACTATCACTAGGAGACGACAGTGGTGGAAAAAGTACCCAATTGTCATATTTGAGTAAAAGTAAAGTTACCTTAATAGAAAATGACTCAAGTAAAAGTAAAAATCAGCCAGTAAAATACTTGGTTTTAAATATACTGAAGTATCAAAAGTAAATGTAATTGGTAATGTAATTAAGTATCAAAAGTCAAAATAAATAATTTCAAATGACTTATATTAAGCAAACCAGACGGCACGATGTTCCTGTTTTTTAAATTTACGTATAGCCAGGGGCACACTCCAACCCTCAGACATCATTTACAAACAAAGCATTTGTGTTTAGTGAGCCCGCCAGATCAGAGGCAGTATGGATAACCAGGGATGTTCTCTTGACAAGTACGTGAATTGGACCATTCCCCTGCCCTGCTAAGCATTCGCAATGTAACAAGTATTTTTGGGTGTCAGGGAAAATGTATGGAGTAAAAAGTACATTATTTTCTTTCGGAATGTAGTGGAGTAAAAGTTGTCAAAAATGTAAATAAGTACAGATACCAAAAAAACCTGACTTAAGTAGTACTTTAAAGTATTTTTACATAAGTACTTTACACCACTGGGAGACGATAGAGTGCCACATTTTGTTGCACGCACATTGTGGCAATTGTTCTGCCAAAACCACGACGCGGCCTAACTTTGTAGTGCCTGCAACTGTAGCTTACATTACATTACATTAACATTTTAATGATTTAGCAGATGCTTTAATCCAGAGCGATTTACAGTCACTGCATTGAACTAAGTTTAGTAGGGAAAAACAGTCATTGCAGGTAGACCCTTCTTCAAAATAGCCACTATAAACAAAATCTGTCCCAGGAAGGCAAAACAAGTGCTAGCTAGAGGTGGTCCTGGTCTAGTTTACCTGGCTCTTGTCTGGGTGTATGCGCATGGCCTGCACCAGCTGGTCCACTTCCTGGTTGTGCTCCAGGGCTCCCCTCAGGGCCTCCTCTGTGCTCATGAGCCGCTGGCGCAGACGGGTCACCTCCGAGTCCAGGGTTGACGGGTCCAGCATAGAGTAGCGCCGGTGATCTGGGGACGAGCCCCTCTCCCTGCCCTGAGAACACACACATCACGTGTAAGGATCAACTGGGTGTTCATTAGGCACTAAAATAAAGAAAAACAGACTGAAACAGGAAGGGACTACCTTGACTTTTATAGATGCGGGCCCTAATGAACACAACCCTGTTTAGTTATTCAATCCATTGCTGGAAAAATGTGGAGGGCTACATCTGTCATTGCTAGGTCTGCCTTTGATATGAATACACGGAGTCAAACATATTTTAAATAATATAGGATACAGACATGAACAAAATAATAGCCATATACTGTATCCACTTTAAATAAGAAACATGGAACATTTATAATCTTAATCATGTAGACCTTTCTACTTCTAGACCAGCTTTCATCTTTGTGAACACAAAGAGAGCATGAGAACACAACAAACTGTGTCGCATTTATTAGTACACACCATAGCAAAACGTTTAGCAAAGAAAAAAAGCATTCCTCCCCGTTTTGGCCTGTTTACTCCCGTTTGGTTACTAGTGAATATGACCCTAAATTGATGGACACATGATGTGATGCGGCGCCAGCACTGTGATTGACATCTCCCAGCCCCTCCCCTCTCACCAGCAGGAGCAGTTTGTCTCTCAGGGTCTTGATGTCATCCTGGAGTTTCTGCTCCTTCACCCTCCACTCAGCCTTGTGCACCTCTCGGCTCAGATCTCGGTCCAGGCCAGGCGAGTGGCGAGGGGAATCCAGTAGTAACACCCTTAACTCGTTCAGACTCCTGACACAAGGGGACGATACAACAATGAATACCATTAAGATTTACCCTTGCCTTCCTGATTCAGGGTAGCCTGGTCCCAGGCTTGATTGTGGTCTTGCCAACTCCAATGCTGTCATTGGCATGACAATTCCCCAGAGTTGGTAAGAGAGCAGAAAGAGACTGGCACCCAGGCTAGATTCAGGGTTGTTTCACCATCAACGACCCGAACCTATCTATGATACATGTTTTTTTTTTTTTCTCCATGAAAGGTAGATGACACGGTCAAATACTGCAAACTACATAATGTTGCGTTAATGTCCTTTCAATAAATTGTTGCTTATATTTCCAGGCCTAATATCCCTAAGCGCTGTGTGCGTAATCTCCCTAAACGCCTTAGAGTAATGGGACACTTTACAGTAACACAGCCATGACAATGCATTGACTTGAGGGGTGAAAAGGCCTTTTGGACCTACTTTTAAATCAGGCTAATTTTCTCCATTACCTTAACAGCTTTTAACCTAAGTGGATTGATCCTCATAAAACAGATATCTAGCATACGTCTAGTGACTGCATATCAAAAAGACGAGTTGCGACTGTTTTGTCAGTCTTTGAAAACACACGATTCTAGCACAAAACACTGTATGTGTAAAGAGCGGGGACGGTTTTACACAAGTGCTTTAGCAAACATCTAATCTCCTTCAGATGAATGTAAGATATATCTTGTAGCAGTGGGTGGGCTGCCATGTTTTATTCCCTATTTCAAAGGGAAAATGCTGAGTTGTGGTGGAAAATCAATAGTGTTCCCTCTCTTTCTCGCTCTCTCTCTCTCGCCATCAAATTACCTCTCCTTCTTCAGTAACTCCTGGCTAATTACAACCAGCTGTCCCGATGCATCATGGGACTTCTTGGTCATGCACTCGAGGTCGGCCTCCAGGCGCATCTTCTCCTTGACCAGGGCGTCGCCCTTCTTCTCACCCAAGCGAACTTTGCCCTCCAAGGCTGGTGGACCAAAAGAGGTTTGAGAAGGATTTTGAGTTAAATGTTTGGTTTGGACCAACAAGTGCTGCAGTGTTGGCGCTTCAAATATATATACTGAACAAAAATATGAATGCAACATGCAACAATTTCAAAGATTTTACTGAGTTACAGTTCATATAAGGAAATCAGTCAATTGAAATAAATTAATTAGGCCCTAATCTATGGATTTCACATGACTGGGAATACAGATATGCATCTGTTGGTCACAGATACCTTAAAAAAAAAAAAAAAAAAAGAAGGAAAACCAGTCAGTATCTGGTGTTACCACCATTTGCCTCATGCAGCGCAAAACATCTCATTCGCATAAAGTTGATCAGGCTGTTGATTGTGGCCTGTGAAATATTGTCCCAATCCTATTCAATGGCTGTACGAAGTTGCTGGATATTGGCAGGAATTGGAACACGCTGTCGTACACGGTGAGTATGCAGGCCATGCAAGAACTGGGACATTTTCAGCTTCCAGGAATTGTGTACAGATCCATGCGACATGGGGCCGTGCATTATCATGCTGAAACATGAGGTGATGGCGGCGGATGAATGGCACGACAATGGGCCTCAGGATCTCATCACGGCATCTCTGTGCATTCAAATTGCCATTGATAAAATGCAATTGTGTTCATTGTCCGTAGCTTATGCCTGCCCATAGCATAACCCCACCGCCACCATGGGGCACTCTGTTCACAACGTTGACATCAGCAAACCGCTTGCCCACACGACTCCATACACGTGGTCTGCAGTTGTGAGGAGACTTATGGTAGAACATTCTATTTTCTGGCAACAGCTCTGGTGGACATTCCTGTAGTCAGCATGCCAATTACACGCTCCCTCAAAACTGTGGCATTGTGTTGTGTGACAAAACTGCACATTTTAGAGTGGCCTTTTATTGTCCTCAGCACAAGGTGCACCTGTGTAATGATCATGCTGTTTAATCAGCTTCTTGATATGCCACATGTGGCAGGTGGATGGATTATCTTGGCAAAGGATAAATTCTCACTGACAGGGATGTAAACAAATTTGTGCACAAAATTAGAGAGAAATGCACTTTTTGTGCATATGGAACATTTCTAGGATCTTTTATTTCAGCTCATGAAACATGAGACCAACACTTTACACGTTGCATTTATATTTTTGGTAAAAAAAGGACATGTATATTCAGTCACCAGTCAATGAAATTGTATATTTGTATTATTCATCAGACCTTGTTTCATTATTCATTAATTAAGTTTTATAATTTAGGGATTAAAATTTTTTCCATGCAATATGTTTGAGAGAAAATGTTCTCAGGCAATCAAATACTGTACATGTAGTTGATGGAGAGTGAATGTGTCGTATTTGTCAAGACATTCATGGAGTGCAAAATATCATAGATAGAAAAAAGATGACATACGTACATCTATAGACTTGAACAGGTTCTGGATATCAAAGAATGTTCAATAAAAGGTGAAAATATACTTCACACACTGCATTCTATGCTCCCTTGGGAATTTATTTGACAACGTCTCGACCAATCAGGTCTTCATCAGAGTGCGGAGTCTCTTTTCACCTTTTACGCAACATATCGTTGTCATAGCAGTATAATTTACCAGTTATCTGTGATTTGAGGGCATCGACCTGTGATGTGAGAGTGGAGACCTCTTTTTCACTTTTGGTCAGATTCTCCATAGTTTCTGAAAGAAACGTGAAACCACCGTTGGTCAAAAACCTTGGAATCTAACTACCGTAAAACTTCAATTAATAGCCTGGGCATTTATTTGCTTAAATCACTGAACACAACAGGCGCTTATTAGAGACAGGATTCTATTTGAGCCAGGCTCCTACTTCACAGCTTTTGCTCATTTGCATAGTACATTTTGTTTAATTCCAGCATTCACTTCCAGCATTTTAATGAATTTCTTCATTTCCTGCACTAAATGTGTTATCCTTTACAAACTGTGTCACGTTTCTTTTATTTTAGTATGCCTCTCCTTGACAGAATAATTATGCTCCTCTTTGACTGTGCATTTTCGTCAGTTCTTACTTTCACCACGAGGACGATCGGACGATTTCTGCAATAATGTCTATCTGCAGACTGCAGTTACTACATGCCGCCGCCCACTGATCTGCACCCGCAGATAGACACTGGTACACAGTGTCCTTCACCCCCACCTGCCGAGCACTGATTTCCTGTTCTGTTAACGTGATGGCGAGGGAAGTAGCTAGCTAGTGTAGCCAACCCAACTCTCGCGTCGCACTACCGGGTAGTGAATACCTTTGCCGTAACGTTAAAATAACTGCGGGAAAGCAGGGCTCGGCAGGCGGGGGCGAAGGACACTGTGTCCTAGATAGCTTGCAGCCTCAATGACAGTGGGCGTGGCATATAGTAAGTGGGCGCAGCATGTAAGTGGGCACGGCATGTAGTAAACACAGTCTGCAGATAGACCCTTCTCAATTTCTGGGGGTCTGTACTCCCGAAGTTGTTGACTGTTTTGTGCATGCCAGTTAGCTAGCAGCTCTCAGCTGTTAGCAGCCAATGGCTAGCAGTTTCTTCCTGGCAATAAAAACGGATGATTCCCATAATTTTGACGTTTTACGGTACGCAATGTCCTCAAAGTACAATCAAAAGCCTACAGAGGTCTGACATTTGAAATACTTTACTATAACACAGGTTTGACATTAAGGGTCTCTAAAAGAATCCTAATTTACATAAAAATATGTTTACAGTAACAATACAACTTAATTAACCAGGTTAACATTTACAATACCTTCAACATTCTGTTTTAGCTTAATCTTTTCCTCCAAGATGTCATTATTTTCTATAACCTGAGAGGGAGACAAAATTGAGAGTTAGAAGGCAAATCCATGACAATTCAATGCTTCATTTGTTTATTGAGGACAAAGATATGGAAACACACAAGGAACTAGAATAGCATAGATATCATGTGGAAGTGAAATTACTTACTTGTCTAAGAGTGTTTCTAGAAAGCTAGCATTAGATCACATGAATAAGGATTTAGCGCCACTCTAAACGCAACCTTAGTTAATTTTATAGTTGGGTCACAAGACTCTAATCTCATATGGACCACAGCATAGCATATACAACCAATGCTACCACAGCTATCCCCCCAGAGGACTCACGTTGGCGTCCTGTGGCATGTGGTGGTAATCCTGCACCGCCTGCAGTTGGTTCTCAGTTACCCTCAGCTTCTCCTCCAGGCTGTAGAGCTCCTCCCGGCTCTGGGCCTCGGCCTTCTGCAGGGCCTTGTAGTCCACCATCTTCTTCTCAGCCAGCTCCAGGCGCTCCCGGAGCTCGTCCCGGGCACCGTCCTGCTCGCCCTGCAGCCTCTCCAGCTCGCCCACCCTCAGCTGGGCCTTCTGGAGCTCCTCCCAGACCTCCCTCAGCTCCAGGGCCTGCTGATCACTCCTGGCCTCTGTCTGGGCCTGGTTATTCCAGTTCTGGCTGCTCTCGCCCAGCTGGTCCTTGGCATCCTGCAAGCGGGAACGCAGATCGTCACACTCCTTGGCCAGCATGGCCGCCTCAATCTCGTGCCTGGCCTTGAGATTCTCCAGCTCCAGCTGGTGCTCCATGCGCAGGCTCTCCAGGGTGGTCCTCAGCTCCTGGGGGTCCTGCTCCTGGCCTTTGGCCGAGCCGCTGGACAGCGAGGCCTTCAGGTCCTCCAGGGAGCGCTGGTGGTCGTTGACCAGGGTGTCCAGCTTGACCTTGAGGAGAGGGATACAAGATTAGAGAGAGAGAGAGAGACCTACATTTCCAAATGAGTAATATAATTCCCTTTCTGTTCTGAGAATAGTGCCTCTCACCTTCCAGTTGTCCATCATCTCCATGTTCTCTGTAGTGGCCTGCTGGACTCTCTGCTTCAGCTCGATGATCTCCTGGCTCTGTTTGTCCACCATGGCTTTCAGTTTGTCTGTCTCCTCCTGGCCCGTTGCCACTGCCGCCTTGTACTTCTCCCTCAGCTGGCTACTCTCCTTGCGGTGTTCCCGGCCTGCCATCAGGAGCTGCTCCCGGAGCAGAAGGGTTTCCGACTGGGCCACCGGCCCCTGGGTGGAGTCCCCGTCCATGGACGAGTCCTGGAGCCGGACCTGGAGCTCCTCGATCTCGGCCCGCCGCAGGGCCAGCTCATCCTCCAGCTGCATGACGCGGCTCTGCTCCTCAACCGTGCTTTGCTGTGGAGGCAGAGAGAGAGAGAGCCCATCATTGCCTTAATGTGGTTTGAGTCATTACTGAATCTGTCAGGGGTGTCGTTCCCGTAACAGAATGACATCATACCCGTTACCGAATAGTGTCAGTCCTGTAATGGGGATGACGTCATGCCTGAAACAGGATGACATCATTCAAGCACCAATCGTTCGAATAAAATGCTTGAATAGAGCATGCAGGGCCAGGAAAAGAGGCATATTGAGAATCATATGAGCGTACAAGCTGGGCCTTTTAGACTGCTAAGCATTACAGTGGAAATCCCTTGGTTTGAGGAAACGCTTTGCTCGCAGACGTCAAAAACAAGTCAAGCTTTTAAATCAGCGGGCACAGTGCAACCTATGAGAAGAAAGCAAGCCATTCTCTGCAATTTTGTCACTCTAGAAGCCAGGCAGATGCACAAAGCCCACAGAAAACCCCCAGACATAACACTACACATAGATAGGCAATCACTAGGCGCACACATAGCAATTAAAGTGTGACATTTTCAAACATCCAATTAAAATGACAGAACTCCATGTTTGACAGAGCAGACCTGATGACATGCAGTGCATAGTAAGTTAATACAGACCATTGAGACAAAAGCAACACTACAGTTGATTGGTTTCTAGGAAAAGTAGTTATCAAAAAGTTCCTTAATAGCATTCAGATAATAATTAAGTCCAAGAAAAAGGCAAGATTGACTTCGCAAGATCGACGTCGTCAACAATAGACAATTGGGAATCAAACAGTTTAGATAGCTGAGCAGAGCCGAACGAAACGATGAGTCCATTTTGTTTCACCTTGGTTCTCTTACCCAACCTCAAGGGTGCTGCATCAAGACTGCGTCTTCCCTGTAGGTAAAATCAGTATATTTGTAGCTCTATATAACATTCATGACCCAAATGTGCTGTCTAACTGTGTTTCACCACAAAATGAATGTGTGAATGTATATAACTGTACATAACTGTATAAGGCAAGATTTTGGTCCTCAGCAGAATTTAATGGAAGTTTCACATTGGTGCTAATTCTAATATTATGCCACCAATTTAACCTCCTTGTAAACTAACACAAAATTATGACATCAACAGTGGAAACGACACTGAATACAGCTGACAACCACTCCAGGAGTGGCACCCTGGGAACTCAAACACGATTTTTGAGTGGGAGGCAAAAGGAACGAGGAAAAAGCGATCGCTACAGATGAAAGGTGAAAACTCAGAGCTGGCTGAGACTTCAGCTTCACTCGGCTGCAGTAACAACCAGGGCCGAGTGAGCAGTCTCCAACACTCCGACACTCATTACAGCTGATGGGAAACAAAGTGGCAGTGGGGCTGAGAGCCAAGAGAGATAGATAGAGGCTGTGTCTCAAATGGCACACTATTCCCTATAGAGCACATATGGTTCTGGTCATAAGTAGTGCACGATAGAGGCAATAGGGTGCCATTTGAGACGCAGCCAGAGAGAGAGGGAGTGGTTTTCTATCGGATGTGAGTCCAATTGTTCATTAATTAATGAAAAAATCGATTCAGGCTACCCAGACTCCTTGTTCCGGCCAAACGCTACGCCACGTCCACGGACATTAGTTTCTTCTCCGCAATGAGTCTGGATCTGAGTACATCTCCGACCCTTCACCGAATGCGAACTCATTCGGGGCTTTCTGATTGGTCCAGAAACCTATGGGTTGGGCCAGAGCCAGAACACACGTGGGTAAAGTGGTGGTTTGAAAATGTGTCATTGGCTTTGATACTCTGATTGGTTAAATGGCTTTGTTTTGTACAATGCCCCTCGTCACCACAAACAACTTCAATGATGGCAGTCTCAGACTAAAGTATGTAGCGAACGACAGAGTAGCGGAATAATTTAGTGTGAGTCGTCAGGCTAGCAATTTGTTCCTCTCAACATGAAACCTAATGTCTGTACAGAGCATTCTTGGCATTGATAAATAAATCAGGGCAATGGCACCCAATTCTGATTGTAGTCTATGCTGTTTGATGACGTAACTGACACTAGTATTTTCTGTATGAGTGACTGAGTTTGGAGACAGGTGCAGGACAGGAATGACAAGGATTTGTGCTGCAAGTCCAACAGCAACCAAAACAAAAGATACAGGGGTGAAGCGCAAAATAAAATGTTTACAGGCAGGGGCTCTAGGATGGGCTAGCTTTTCCAGTTACCCGATTCACCTCTAATTCTTTCTGAAGCTTTTCTGCTCTCGACTTTTCGAGGAACAGATTCTGCTCAAGCTGCCGAAAACGGGCATGCTCCAATTTCGTCTGAGTCTACAGAGAAGGAAAGAGAAAGGAGAGAGACCGGACGTAGAGAACAATACAAGACACAGAAACCTGTACAGATTGAAGAGACTGTGTGAAAAATACACATCTCATGGGATTTTCTGTAACAGCAGTCAAGAGATTGAAGGAGGACAGATATTTTACAGACAGACATTTACATTTTAGTCATTTTTTCACATAGTCGGCTCAGGGATTCAAACCAGTGACTTTTCCGTTACTGGCCCAAGGCTCTTAACCGCTAGGCTACCTGCCGTCCCTAAACATTGAAAATGTGCAACGTTCCTCTGTCTATATTTGCTCACTTAATGTTTTAATCGCTATATGTTTGGCACAGGCTTTTGGTCACTCTTACATAACTGAGCATCATAGTGTCGTTAGCTACTAGCCTACTACTCAATTAATATCTTTCACATTACACTATAGAAAGAGCAACATTTGATCACTTTTGCAAAAGTAGTCTTATAAACACACATTCTCATCCCGTCAAAACACGTTTATCAAATCATTGTTGATCTAAGCTTTTTACAAAACGGTTGATAAATACCTCAAGGTCTCCTTTGGTGATTGACTCCTCCTCCACTCTGAACTGAAGGTCTTCCACTTTCCTGTAATAACACGTCGGCCACAAGGTGTCAGGGAAGTGCCACAGAAGAGCATCACAACCCGACAGATGGCTTCTTCCAAAACAATTTACAGTACAGTGACTGCATACATTTTTGACATGCATATTTGAGGCCTGTGGGGAATGAACCCACAACCTTCACGTAGCTAGCGCCACGCTCTTACCAACTGAGCTACACAGGACCACACCTGGGTCAAATACATACGGACAGTGCTTCAAGTAGAATAAAATAGGTGCGGGTACTCATTTTGGGTGACCGTACTCATCATAAAAGGTGCCAGTACTTCAGCAGTAGAAAATTAGAGGAGTCGGACTCGGTACACTGTACAGGAAAGCATTGTCCCACTTCAAGAACTGCATACATTATGTTAATTAAATCACTTGAGGTACACTTGATTGAGCTTGCCCAGTGCAATGGAACCAATGGAATAGTCCCAAAAGTGCTCCCACCCCTTAAACTGGTCAGGCTAAATCAAGCGCACTTTAAGTATGTGAAAGTGTTTGACATATATATTTGGCACAGGTCTGATTACAGCACAGACAACCATGGATCTGTTCCAAATGGCTACCCTATTGAAAAAAGTATTAAGTACTACACTATATAGGGAATAGGGTGCCATTGGGACGAATCATATCTCTTTTCCTGGAACAATAGATTTTATTCACAGCTGAAAGTTCTACCAAAGACGGCTAGGGCAGCTAGCTAATAAACTGTTGTGTCTTTTAAAAGCAGGGCATATGACAATGACAATGCGCTAGCAATGTTCTTCTGAGTACCCTAAATGGAATAACATCGGTGGTGGTTTCACACTTGAGGATTTTTTTTGCATTGGTTTCAATTGCCGAGATGACAATAGTAATATCCTGTTGTCATAAAAGTGGAGACTTTTAATATATATTAAATTGGGATACCTCATACCTGTATTAAAACAGGATATTTAACTGCTCTGAGCAATTTAGTATTTATATATTTTTGTGCCACAAATGAATTGCCCTAAAAAGGACCAAACCAGCAAGATCACTCCATAGAAATCCCTGACACCGTACCTTTTCTCTTCTTCAAGCTGATTGGCCAGCTCTACTTTGTCCTTCTGAGTGCTTGCCAACAGAGTTTTGACTTGCTGGAGGTTGCTCTCCGTCTCTGTGACATACTGTAATCAGAGAAAAACATATCAGTGATGAGCTATACCATGCTATCACTGAGTGCTTTGACAAGTTATCAGTAAGTACAGTCGTGGTCAAAAGTTTTGAGAATGACACAAATATTAATTTTCACAAAGACTGCTGCCTCAGTTTTTATGATGGCAATTTGCATATACTCCAGAATGTTATAAAGAGTGATCAGATGAATTGCAATTAATTGCAAAGTCCCTCTTTGCCATGAAAATAAACTGAATCCCCCCCAAAAATGTCCACTGCATTTCAGCCCAAGAAAGTCCAGCAAGCGCCAGGACGTCTCCTAAAGTTGATACAGCTGCGGGATCGTGGCACCACCAGTGCAGAGCTTGCTCAGGAATGGCAGCAGGCAGATGTGAGTGCATCTGCACGCACAGTGAGGCGAAGACTTTTGGAGGATGGCCTGGTGTCAAGAAGGGCAGCGAGGAAGCCACTTCTCTCCAGGAAAAACATCAGGGACAGACTGATATTCTGCAAAAGGTACAGGGATTGGACTGCTGAGGACTGGGGTAAAGTCATTTTCTCTGATGAATCCCCTTTCCGATTGTTTGGGGCATCCGGAAAAAAGCTTGTCCGGAGAAGACAAGGCGATCGCTACCATCAGTCCTGTGTCATGCCAACAGTAAAGCATCCTGAGACCATTCATGTGTGGGGTTGCTTCTCAGCCAAGGGAGTGGGCTCACTCACAATTTTGCCTAAGAACACAGCCATGAATAAAGAATGGTACCAACACATCCTCCGAGAGCAACTTCTCCCAACCATCCAAGAACAGTTTGGTGACGAACAATGCCTTTTCCAGCATAATGGAGCACCTTGCCATAAGGCAAAAGTGATAACTAAGTGGCTCCGGGAACAAAACATCAACATTTTGGGTCCATGGCCAGGAAACTCCCCAGACCTTAATCCCATTGAGAACTTGTGGTCAATCTTCAAGAGGCGGGTGGACAAACAAAAACCCACAAATTCTGACAAACTCCAAGCATTGATTACGCAAGAATGGGCTGCCATCAGTCAGGATGTGGCCCAGAAGTTAATTGACAGTATGCCAGGGCGGATTGCAGAGGTCTTGAAAAAGAAGGGTCAACACTGCAAATACTGACTCTTTGCATAAACTTAATGTAATTGTCAATAAAAGCCTTTGACACTTATGGAATGCTTGTAATTATACTTCAGTATACCATAGTAACATCTGACAAAAATATCTAAAAACATTGAAGCAGCAAACTTTGTGAAGACCAATACTTCTGTCATTCTCAAAATGTTTGACCACGACTGTACACAAACACTTACCCATACTAATTAATTGAAGTGTTCAGTGAAAAGAAACATTGATTAATTACTCATGTCTGTAGATTACACAATAAGCGTCCGTTTCCCAGGAGGTCGTTCCACCCCAAAAAAGCATTTCGACACCCACCATCTCAGATTGTTCTGAAATCGTTTCTGTTGTTAGGAACAGATAAGATTAGCATTCCTGCAACATTATTTTGATGAAATATAATTTGATCTCTGAGAAATTAAGCTAATTGATTGCACCCAAATTGGCACATTTAATTTATAGGATTCTCATAACATTCAATAAATATAGTACCTAACATCTGATTTGGACCAAACTTTTTTCTAACAATGAGTTAGACATGTTCAAAATGTCTCTATGTCTGACAAGTAGTATGGAGCTGCGGCTCTGAGTTGTGTTTCTTCATCCTATGTTATGTATTCGCAGAGAATTTGGTGTGTCCCCCATTCAACAACCTAATGTTACCAGGTTCTGACCACTACATGGTGCTGTTCCTGCTATTAGGTGAAAATACAATTGTAGAATCCCCCAACCCATGCTTTGGTTTTGTTCGGCATTGTTTCAAATGCTAACTTTTTTGCATTTGTGTCACAAATTCAATGCAAGTCATTGGTACCTATTTAAGCATTTACATGCTTCATGTCCAAATAATCCTAAAGTATCAAAAAAATTGATTGTATATCTCAATGCTACTTATAGATGATTTGAATGTGAAGCGCGAAAATGATAATATAGGTACCATTTACTTGCATTGGACTTATGCCACAAATGCTAAAAAAGTTTGCATTTGAAACAGTGGCCAGGTAAACAAAAAAAAAGATATCCTAATAGCAGGAACAGGACTATCAAGTGATCAGAACCTGGTAATATCAGGATGTAGGATGGGAGATAAACCCAACAGCTTCAATGACACATTTCTCTGAACATGGGGAAAAAAACATAACCAAATTCACAGAGAATACATTACATAGGATAAAGAACAATACCCCAGCCGCAGCGCCATACTACTTGTCAGACATAGAGAACTCATTCGGAAAGTATTCAGACCCCTTGACTTTTTCCACATTTTGTTACGTTACAGCCTTATTCTAAACTAGTTTAAATAGTTTTTGTTCCTCATCAATCTACACACTATCTTATAATGACAAAGCAAAAGCAGGTGTAAATATCTTATGTAAATATCACATTTACATAAGTATTCCGATCCTTTACTCAGTACTTTGTTGAAGCACCTTTGGCAGTGATTACAGCCTTGAGTCTTCTTGGAAATAACGCTATAAGCTTGCCACACCTGTATTTGGGGAGTTTCTCCCATTCTTCTCTGCAGATCCACTCAAGCTCTGTCAGGTTGGATGGGGAGCGTCTCTGCACAGCTATTTTCAGGTCTCTCCCGAGATGTTCGATCGGGTTCGTCCGGGCTCTGGCTGGGACACTCAAGGACATTCAGGGACTTGTCCCGAAGCCACTCCTGTGTAGTCTTGGCTGTGTGCTTAGGGTCGTTGTCCTGTTGGAAGGTTAGTCTTCGCCCCCAGTCTGAGGTCCTGAGCGCTCTGGAGCAGGTTTTCATCAAGGATCTCTCTGTACTTCATTCATCTTTCCCTCGATCCTGACTAGTCTCCCAGTCCCTGCCGCTGAAAAACATCCCCACAGCATGATGCTGCCACCACCATGCTTCACCGTAGGGATGGTGCCAGGTTTCCTCCAGACGTGATGCTTGGCATTCAGGCGAAATAGTTAAATCTTGGTTTCATCAGACCAGAGAATCTTGTTTCTCATGGTCTGAGAGTCGTTTAGGTTCCTTTTGGCAAACTCCAAGTGGGCTGTCATGTGCCTTTTTACTGAGGAGTGGCTTCTGTCTGGCCACTCTACCATAAAGGCCTGATGGGTGGAGTGCTGCAGAGATGGTTGTCCTTCTGGAAGGTTCTCCCATCTCCACAGAGGAACTCTGGAGCTCGGTCAGATTGACAATCGGGTTCTTGGTCACCTCCCTGACCAAGGCCCTTCTCCCCCGACTGCTCAGTTTGGCTGGGCGGCCAGCTCTAGGAACAGACTTGGAGGTTTCAAACTTCTTCCATTTAAGAATGATGGAGGCCATTGTGTTCTTGGGGACCTTCAATTCCGCAGAAATATTTTGGTATCCTTCCCAGATCTGTGCCTTGACACAATCCTTGTTCGGAGCTACGGACAATTCCTTCGGCCTCATGGCTTGGTTTTTGCTCTGACATGCACTGTCAGCTGTGGGACCTTATATAGACAGGTGTGTGCCTTTCCAAATCATGTCCAATCAATTGAATTTACCACAGGTGGACTCCATTCAAGTTGTAGAAACATCTAAAGGATGAACAATGGAAACAGGTGCACCTGAGCTCAATTTCGAGTCTCATAGCAAAGGATCTGAATACTTATGTAAATAAGGTGTTTATTTTTTGTCATTATGGGTTATAATGTGTAGATTGATGAGGGATTTTTTTCCCCAAATTATATTTCAACAAAATACTGTTTCCATAATGCTTATCTTATCTGTTTTTAACTACAGAAATGATTTCAGCACAATCTGAGATGGTGGGTGTCATGGCTTGCTGAAATGACATGGAACGACCCCAGACACGGATTCATTTTAGTCCTAGACTAAAAAAAGATTTCAATGGAGAATCACTTGATGCACATCCCGGGGCGAACCAGATCACATTAGAGATGCTTTCTTGACAGGTAAGTAGCGCTATGAGTCTTGCAAGCGTGTGTGTGTGTGTGTGTGTGTGTGTGTGTGTGTGTGTGTGTGTGTGTGTGTGTGTGTGTGTGTGTGTGTGTGTGTGTGTGTGTGTGTGTGTGTGTGTGTGTGTGTGTGTGTGTGTGTGTGTGTGTGTGTGTGTGTGTGTCAGTCAGTTCCAAGGATGTAATGCACACACTACTACAATACCATTATGTCAATGGAGAATCACCATTGAGAATGCTTTTTAGTCCTGGATTAGGCTTAATCTGGCTGGGAAACCAGCCCTACATGTTGTCGACTTCCATATTTAACAGGTTCATTTGTCTGACTGATATGCAGTTGCTTTTCTCTTAATTCAGTAAAGAGTCCAGTCATTGCGTGACTCATCAACATGTGCAGACTTATTGGGATGACATGTTAGGACATTTCCCTGGTTGAGTCATAGAGTGGGTGCTGCTGAATTGGCTGGTGTGAGTGTGTAGTCTGCAGTGACAGTGACAGCATGCAACTACAGATGTAGTATCTTCATTTGAGCCAGTTTTCTACAGCAACACAATAGTCTTGCAGCAACAGGACATGTGAATTATTATGTGGATCATAATTAATGGACATTTTTTGTAGGGATTGATATATTTTAAAGTGGAAATTACAAACTTTAGAAGCCTTTTAAAATCTTGAATACACTACAAGTTTGCATTTCCTGCTCTGCAAGAAAATTCTCAGCAACAAAAGAGTGATCAAATTAAGATCCTACATCTGTATAATGGCAACCTATTCCCTATGTAGTGCACTATATAGCGGATATTTTGCCATTTCAAATGCCCCTGTCACTGTCACTGCACACAACGTGCTCACACCCATAGGGCTCTGGTCTAATAAAGTGCACTATATAGGGAATATGGTGCCATTTTGGACACAGCCAAAATGTCATCACTGTCCTTGCACGGCCCAACAGCTTTTATGGTTAATTACCATCATCATCACCCGTGTTGGGATTGGTTACTTGGAAAAGTAGTATATTACATATTACTCGTCACATTTAACAAAAGTAAAGCGTTACTTTACAATATTACTTTGTGTGGAAAGTACCGCGTTATTACTAGTTATATTACTTTGTGTTAGTTTCATGAAAAAAATCTCAATCTCACAGTTTGTTTGACTGTCGGAGGGAGCAAGGCTCTACCAAAGATAAGCTACTAACTAACTCAGGTTGGATCACTAGTTTCTCCTTTTATCTGTTGCGCTGCTTTCCTGTGCTAGTCTACAAGTGCTGCGCTATACACTGAGAGTACAAAACATTAAGAACACCTGCTCTTTCCATGACAGACTGAGCAGGTGAATCCAGGTGAAAGCTATGATCCCTTATTGATGTCCACTTCAATCAGTGTAGATGAAGGGGAGGAGACAGGTTAAAGAAGGATTTCTAAGCCATGAGACAATTGAGACATGGATTATGTATGTTTTCCCCTTCAGACGGTGAATGGGCAAGACAAAAAATGGAAGTGCCTTTGAACGGGGTATGGTAGTAGTTTCCAGGCGCACCGGTTTGTGTCAAGAACTGCAACGCTGCTGGGTTTTTCACGCTCAACAGTTTCCTGTGTGTATCAAGAATGGTCCACCACCCAAAGGACATCCAGCCAACTTGACACAACTGTGGGAAGCATTGGAGTCAACGTGGCCCAGCATCCCTGTGGAACGCTTTCGAGACCTTGTAGAGTCCAACTCACGGGGTGCAACTCAATATTAGAAATGTGTTCCTAATGTTTGGTATACTCAGTGTATATGGGCTGCTTAATTAGCCATATATACTGTAAGCCAAACATCTGTACAGATTTCCTATCTTTTCATTCAAAATCTTTCTCCAAACAGCCTTTCTCTGCTCGCTCAAGAACTTAATGAGGAAACAAGTCGAGATTGGAACATGGAAACAAGTCGAGATTGGAACATGGAAACAGGGCCTAAAATTAACACCTGCCACCCGCCAATGCCAAAATCTACCCACATTTGGCGGGTGGCAGGTGTTAATTTTAGGCCCTGTTTCCATGTCTATTTCACCAGCCACATTGGCGGGTGGTCAGGGCTCCACAGTGCGATCATTTCACTCAAATTTGTAAATAAAAATAGTCAAGTAAGATCTCATTAATAGCAATAGCAATACAAACATTTTCAAAGTATTTCTGCCGTTTTGTTTCATAGCTGGTAAATTAATCGCACAAAGTCAAAGAACGCTGCGCACAGGCACAACAGTTATTCTAATATACTTGAAACGAAAGTATACTGAGTTTTGTCCTTGTGTTTCTTTGCTATTTACATTGTTTTGTTCACAAGCTAGGTTGTTTTTCAATGTTTGAGTTTCAACTACTAGGGAAGAGAAGACGACGTGGCTACTAGTCAGACTCTCTCAATCTCACAGGCACAAACATGACTCAAGTTGCCTTACCACAGTAACCTCCGGCCCTGTAAAAATGTTTGTCTCTGTGATATTTTGGTTAATTATTGAAATGAAACAATATACCACATTACTTCTTACTAGTTATACATTTATTGTTTTAGAAACATTAACGCATTACTTTACTTTGTTACTCATAAAAGGAATCTCATTACGTAACGCATTACTTTTGTAATGCTTTACCCCCAACACTGATCATCACATATTCTGAACAAAACCAAACACAAACAAATCATCTATCTCGGGCCAATATACATCATAAAACAACATCTGCTGGTCCCAGATATCTTTGTAGTGTGCTGCCAACTCCTATGGCCATTGTCACAGCAGCTCAAACTATTCTGGAACCAGGCTCAACATGCAGTGGCCCCTGCGAAGAGTAGCTATTGTTGCTAATGTACAGGGTTTGGGAGTAACCGATTACATGTAACGAATTGCAAAAAACTGTAACTGTAATCCGTTACCAGCAAAAATATTGTAATTAGAAAAACTAGATGATTATTTCTAGGAATACTTTTAAATTCAGAAAGGATGTTTGCGAAAAGATTATTTGACACCTTTCTGTTTTCTCAATGGCATTCAAATCAGCATTGAAAAAAGGTGCAAGTTTAAGTTTGTTCAGACTGAGTAAGTCTGACCACAAGTCAGAGACCACTATGATGACACACCAAATGCATTTGATGAATCGCGGGAAAAGAGAAGGAATAGGCTTTTGTATATGCTACAGTTCAAGCAGTCTTCCAATGGTGCAACTGCTGTCGGTATCCAACGATTATCCAACTTGAATAAACACTTGGAGGTAATGACGACAACAGTGGTATAGCCTACGGGCGATACATAGCTAGGCTACATAGCGCGTTGATGTGAATCACAGTGCTGCTCTATCATTTAGATATTTACTCCTTACAAATTGTGGTTGTTGTGGATGGCTGTTCACAAATGTAGGCCTATAGGCTTATGTGTATTTTAACCCAATAATGGTTGAATTGAAGAAGTTAAAGCTGCCTATCAATCATTATTTTTGCGACCAGTGGTGTATTCATTACGGAAACCGTTTATCGCTTAACCAAACAGAAGCAAACAGAGCAAAACAATAGTTTCTGTTGGACAAATTCAGGTAGGTCCCTCCCCGTTTCATTCCGCTTGATTCCGTTTAAGAAACATTTTGCAACAGAAACAGCGTAATGAATACGCCCCCAGTGGACAGCCAGTGAAATATGAGCTCTTGCAACAGCTGCAGAGTGTGGATCCCAGCATATGGAATAAAAACTCCCCCATGGTATTGTACTCCAAAATGTCAAAAACAAGTTTAATTTAAGAAGACCACCACTGGCGCTTTTATTGCTCAATCTAATTCGTGCTGATTCAACAACAAAAGCTGTAGGCCTAACGGACACATGCCCAAACTCGCACACTTTTGACAGACTTAAACAGCTGCAAATTATCGAGATATCAAAGTGTCACCAACAAAAACGTCAACAATAGGCCTATAACAAATGCGGCATATGGCACATTTTTCACATGCAAATAGCACTTTTCGGTAGTGCTCAAAGCATGCAATTCCGAGAGCAGCATTTACTTTTCAACTCGAAGCAATGAGCCCAATTAGTCCTCCATGACAACAAAATCATAAACAACAGAGTAGTAACAGAGTAGGCTAGTCCTTAGTTTTGGGGTTATGTTCAGGTAAAACAAGTTGGCTAATCTATATTTCCAAGTCCTACTCTTGAAGCTCAAGGGGTATTAAATTAATTGGAATGACTGGCAATCTGACACTGTTAAAAAAACAAATGTAAAGATATAGCCTAATCATATTATTATCTGTAGTAGAAAGCGATGGGTTAGATGAAGCCTGCATAACCAACCCATAAAGTAAAATGCAACATCCATTTATGGCCAGCTATGTAAACTCTAACATTGATTTATCCTGCAATATGTCATTCAATTGGTTATATTCATTTTTGGCTTTTTCTAATGCCTCTTATTAAGCAGGTTGACATTGATTAGGATGAGTCTTGTTCTTGAGGCAGAACTGAGTGATTTCCACTAGATGGGCCAGCTGCAAAATTGGATATATTGTAAAAATTTATTAAAACAAACATTTGCTTTTTGGTCTTAATTTAAGGTTAGGGTTAGGCCTTAGGGTTATCAGTATGGTTAGGGTTAAGGTTAGGTTTAATCTTATGTTGTTATGACTTTGTGACTGTGCCAGCTAGTGACCACTCTGCAGAGCTGCCTCCAGGGCAAGATTTATGATGAAAAACGCTAACCTGTGCCTCTTAAGGGGAAAGTAATCTAAAAGTTTAAATTCAGATTCATATAATCTTTATTATCTTTATTATTCATTTGCTTGTGTGCTTAAAAAGACGGTACATAAAACATAAAAACAGAACAATTCAAAATAAAATTCATTTGAAAGTGCAATAGCCTACATATTTACAGTGAAAGTGCAATATGCTGTAGACTCCCGGGACCAATAGACTATCCATTGTACAGCCTAATGGCCATTGGAATCAAATATCTATCATATCTATCCGTTCTGATCTTCTTTTAAAGAAGTCTCTTTCCACATTTTCCGGCTGCCGTGACTGAGTTTTGAGTGAAGGGAATAGGTACTGTCATGTAAAATGCTTTCAAGTTTTTGGAGGATAGGTTTTGTGTAAAGGCTGGTGGCTGATTATTGGTCTATACCAATTATCCTTCCCGCCGTCTTGATAAAGCGCTGAAGCTTGACTTGGTCTTGCGCTTGTATGTTTCTAAACACGCATATCAGACCAAAGGACAGCACACTCTGCAGGACAGATTTATAAAACATTTGTAGGATATGGCAATCAACATTGAAATGGTTCAGTTTGCATTAAAAATAAAAATTCTATGTTGCAGTTTCTTTGTCTTTGCAAGGATACAGTCATTGTATTTCAATTTATTGTCTATTTCAATTCCCAGATATTTATCTATCGACTGATTCCCCATTGAGCTTCGTAGTAAAAAAAAAAATATATATTTCCATCTCTTTTGTTTTCTTAACGTTTATTTCAAGAAGGTTATCTGCGCACCACTGGATGAATTTTGCAGTTTCTCTGTCAAAACCTTCAAGAAAGGCCTGGTCTGGGTGGAGAAAACCCACAACAGAGTAAACTGCAGAGTTAAACTTCACTTGTTGGGTATGGTTCACAAGGAAACTGTTGATCCGCTTGATCAGTATAGAGTTGACACCCAAATTCACCAGCTTGTCCACCAGTAGGTGGGGTTGGATGGTATTGAACACGCTACTGAAGTTCATTCAAGCATTCCCAGAGTGCCTTGCTGCCGACGCTGTCTCGACCATATGATTTTTGTGGGTTGACACGTTGAAAGTGTTGCTTGATGTCATTCACAGGGATTTGTATATCAACAGCTGGTATGCTCTCTATACTGTCCATGGCCACTTTCTGCTGCGATGTAAAATCACCCATGTCAAACCTTCAATAGAAAATGTTCAAAACATTTGCAAAGACAAGGTCATTATCGACAGTCATGCAATGTCTCTTTGGTTTGTAACCTGTGATGGTTTGTAGCCCTTTCCAGGCATTCCTACTGTCATTGTCCTTAAAAAAGTTGTCTAATTTGTCTTTGTAGGCTGCCTTGCACTCCTTGATCTTGCTTTTGAGTGTCCTCTGAATATTTGTCCTTTCCTCTTTACTGCCACCTGATTTAAACACTTGTTTTTTCTGGTTGAGGAGCTCTTTAAATTCCCAAGTCACCCATGGTTTATTATTGGGGAAGATGTTTCTTTTTGGAAATAACGAGATCCTCACAGAAACAGATGTACTATGAGACAGTATCCGCTGCCTCTTTCAGGTCGTCGGAGCTGTCCGTCACGGCCGCCCAGTCAGTGGACTCGAAACATTCCTGGAGGGCTTCAGTAGCTTCACCTTTTTAACCTTCTCTCGCTGCAGTCGCGGTTTGTAAACTGGGATGAGCTGAACCATGTTATGGTCCGAACCCCGGAGATTGGGTAGTGCCTTGGAGGAATACGCACCTGGGAGGTTCCCATAACAGAGGTCCAGATAGGCTTCACCTGGGATGTTACCATAACAAAGGTCCAGACAGGCTTCATTTTGGATAGGACATGTAACATTGCTGGTATGATGGTAAATGTTCAGATAGACTGCACATGTTAAAGTCTGCCATGATCAGCTTTACTGCTTCAGGTGACTGTCTCAGCCTGGGATACAAGGTCATACCTAGGTGTCTGGTTAGACTGTAAACTCAACTTCCAGACTCACATAAAGAATCTCCAATCCAAAGTTAAATCTAGAATCGGCTTCCTATTTCGCAACAAAGCCTCCTTCACTCATGCTGCCAAACATGCCCTCGTAAAACTGACTATCCTACCGATCCTTGACTTCGGCGATGTCATTTACAAAATAGCCTCCAACACTCTACTCAGCAAATTGGATGTAGTCTATCACAGTGCCATCCGTTTTGTCTCCAAAGCCCCATACACTACCCACCACTGTGACCTGTACGCTCTTGTTGGCTGGTCCTCACTACATGTTCGTCGTCAAACCCACTGGCTCCAGGCCATCTATAAATCACTGCTAGGCAAATCCCCGCCTTATCTTAGCTCATTGGTCACCATAGCAGCACCCACCCGTAGTCTGCGCTCCAGCAGGTATATCTCACTGGTCATTCCCAAAGCCAACACCTCCTTTGGCCGCCATTCCTTCCAGTTCTCTGCTGCCAATGACTGGAACGAATTGCAAAAATCTGTTTTTTTACCCCATATGTAACTCTGTGTTGTTTTTATTGCACTGCTTTGCTTTATCTTGGCCAGGTCGCAGTTGTAAATGAGAACCTGTTCTCAACTGGTTTACCTGGTTAAATAAAGGTGAAATAAAAATTAATAAAAAAATAGATCATGTTGGCAGCTGTTTAGGTGTCAGTGGATGGGGCTATGTAAACAATAAACAGTCAAACCTGATTTATTTCCTGTGGCAGGTAGTATGGCCGTAGGTTAAGAGCAAGGAGTTCAATGTCTTTAGTACAGACCTGGTGCTTCGTTGTGATATGGGCTGGATTGCAGTATTTCTCTTTGATGAACGCACAAACTCCTTCACCTTTCTGCTTACCAGAGTTGATGTTTCGGTCCATTCTAATGATTGCGTAGCCATCCAGCTCCACAGTGGAGTCAGGGTCCTGTTCTATAAGCCAGGTCTCAGAGAGACAGATCAGGCAGGATTGAAAGGTACTCTGAAAGGTATTGGGTACAAGCCTGTAGCTCGTCAGTCTTATTCCTTACGCTTTGAACATTGCCATGCACAATAGATGGAAGAGATGTTCTGAAGGGATGTTTTTTTCATCCGATTTCAAATTTCTCCTCTACTGCCACGTTTCCTTGCTTTAGATGCCTTTAGATTCCATTGTAGCATAAATTTACAGCAAAGGGGTCGGCGATTAAGCAAGACATCTCTTGTGTATGATATCCGCGGTTGCGGCTCGCCGTATCCATTGAGGATCAGGTCGACAGCTAGTTTGGTGCGTTTCACAAAAAAACAGATTAAAACTAACAGCAAAAGTACTGCTATTTGCCTCATTATAAGCTATCAGATTTCATACCACTAAAAACTTGGTTGATTGAGGTGGATCACAATCAGATTACGTTACTGAGTTTGTGTAATCCAAAAGTTACATTACTGATGACATCTTTGGACAGGTAACTAGTAACTAACGGATTACATTTAGAAAGTAACCTACCCAACCCTGCTAATGTAACATCTAATGGGGATCTGAATAAACCAATAAGCCAAATACTATCCTTCAAAATAAGTTAATCAGCTCAATCCAATCAAAGCTGAAATCTGGAAGTTTCCCTGTGAGGCAAAACAACATTCTTCCAGTGCTCTGAGAGAGTGTTTGAATCTAGCTGAATTTCTTCCTGTTTCACACAGTAATCACTGTTTTATTGTTTTCGTGAAGAATGCACAAGAGAAGCTTTGTCTGGCATGCTATTTAATGCTTTGCCATTGCCACTGTCTTGCACTTCTCTCTATGTAAAAATATAAAATCATTTAGCAACTTTCTAGTGAAATAAATGCTAGCTTATTTCCTAGCCCTGTGCCTTTGACACAGCATGGTGGGAGACATACACTTAGGTATGGTTAGCCAAAGGCCAAGACCCTCTCTGTTTCCGCTATAAACGCTGTCATCTGATTGGTTGAGAGCACTGAACTTGCTTTAGTTTTGCATCGCCGGTGCCCTGGGTGGGCGGAGTTTGCATATTGTAGCCTATTCCATTGGTCCGTAAGTGAAATCTCCATCCACACAGGGCACCGAGCAATGCAAAAACTAGCGTGCACCTTGTCTAGCAAAGAGACTCCATGGGAGATAACATTCCGCTTTGAATTGCTATATGAATTTGAGGCTCAGCCTCCATGAGATCATGATTCGTCAGAAGTAGCTGACTGATTTGTTTATGAACGATGCACATCTCCAGGCAAACCAGAGCACATTAGAGATGGTTTATTTACAGGTTAGTACCGCTATGAGTCTAGTAAGCCAGTCCCTCCAGGGTTCTGCAATATAATATTTATTTTACAAAATCAACTATTCGCGCATATAACATGAGAGCTTGTGAATTTGACCAATCTGACCAATATTTGACCAATCTGACCAATAAAACAGTCAAATCATCGCAATATTATCGTATAAAACTGACCATCAACGCAGTACAAAAAGAGGACTCGCAATTTCATGGCATGATAACAAAAACAGACTGCCACTCAGGTTACTGCCTACCTGCAGCTGCTGGGCCTTGAGGGCACTAAGCTCCTTCTCCACCTCGCAGATGTGGCTGGTGGCTTTGGCCACCTCGGCCCGCTCCAGGTCCCTCTCGGCCAGAAGCTGCTCGATGTGCTGCTGTTTCTCTTTTAGTGCCTCCTGCAGCGCAGTGGTGCCTGAGATCTTGCGGGCATAGCGTGACGACGTCTCTGTGAGCTATGGAGGGGGAGGGGAGGTTGGGTAGGGGAGAGAGGGAGAAGAGAGAGAGAGGGGGAGGGGTGGGTGGGTGAGTGGGGGAAAGAGGTGTGAGAAACAAATAAGATTAGAAGAAATGTGTCTTTCAGCATTACACATAAAAAAATGAATACATACTCAAGTTAAAAATGCAAGGAAATGGAAGGCTGGCATTACCAGATCTTATAAGTTATTTCTATGCTTCATGGATCAGGGCTTTCATGATATTTGAATTATTATTATTTCATTCAGGTTGAGGACATTTGTCTAGGAGCATTAGACATTTTTTTTTAGGGGCAAACTAAATAGCATTGTCATGCTGAAATAACAAAGTTGGAAGCACAGAATCTTCTAGAATGTCATTGTATGCTGTAGCGTTAAGATTTCCCTTCACTGGAACTAAGCGGCCTAGCCCGAACCATGAAATACAGCCCCAGACCATTATTCCTCCTCCACCAAACTTTACAGTTGGCACTATGCATTCAGGCAGATAGCGTTCTCCTTGCATCCGCCAAATCCAGATTCGTCCGTCGGACTGCCAGATGGTGAAGCGTGATTCATCACTCCAGAGTCCAATGGCGGCGAGCTTTACACCACTCCAGCCGACACTTGGCATTGCGCATGGTGATCTTAGGCTTGTGTGCGGCAGCTCGATCATGGAAAACCATTTCATGAAGCTCCCGACGAACAGTTATTGTGCTGGCGTTGCTTCCAGAGAGAGTTTGCAACCAAGACAGATGGTTTTTACACGCTATGCGCTTCAGCACTCGGCAGTCCCGTTCTGTGAGCTTGTGTGGCCTACCACTTCGCGGCTGAGCCGTTGTTGCTCCTAGACGTTTCCACTTCACAATAACAGTGCTTACAGTTGACCGGGGCAGCTCTAGCAGGGCAGGAATATGAAAAACTGACTTGTTGGAAAGGTGGCATCCTATGACGGTGCCACGTCAGAAGTCACTGAGCTCTTCAGTAAGGCCATTCTACTGCCAATGTTTGTCTATGGAGATTGCATGGCTGTGTGCTCGACTTTATACACCTGTCAGCAACGGGTGTGGCTGAAATAGCAGAATCTACTCATTTGAAGTGGTGTCCACATATTTTTGTATATACAGTGTATATACCGGATATAAATTCAGACATCTGAACAACAGGCCTAGACCAACGGTGGGCAACATACGACCCCGTGCCGGATCCGGCCCAAGCGCTGCTAAAATGGTGGGTGCTGTGGATGTGGTGGATTCCTTTTTTATATATATATATTTTTTAATTACATGATTATTTTGGATAAAAACGATATAAATTAACACTTGAAGGTCTTAAACTAGATAGAAAGTATTACAGCATTACACATGATAATACATATTTTTTTCTGACCCGAAAATTACTTTTGACTAACAAAGTCTAGAAAATCTGTGACGCCCACTGTTGAATTTGTAAGTCCCGATATGGCCCTCAAACCAAAACTGCCTACCTCTGGCCTGATTTGAACAGATCTGGATTGTGATGAAAATAGTAGAGTTAAACTGGGTCACCCAGGTGCGCTCACACACACACACACACACACACACACACCTGAGGCAACAAGAGGCCTAGTGACAGTGTGACTACAGCAGACCGTTTGATGACAATATGCACGGTTGCACGGTTGCACAAAAAGAACTGGGTGCAAACTACGCCTTCTAATGAGCCCCCGCCTCTAGGTGGGCTTGGTGTGGGCTAGACGGTGCTGGGCTTGGTGTGGGCTCGCCCCAATTGGGCTTGGTGTGGGCTGGCCCATGTCAGCCTTGGTGTGGGCTGGCCCATGTCGGCCTGGTGTGGGCTGGCCCGTGTCGGGCTTGGTGTGGGCTGGCCCATGTCGGCCTGGTGTGGGCTAGCCTGTGTTGGGCTTGGTGTGGGCTAGCCTGTGTTGGGCTGGTGTGGGCTAGCCCGTGCTCACCTTGGCCACCGAATACCCACATGGGGACAATGGGGTCATGTTTTCTGGGTGTGTATGTCTGTATGTTAGCACTACGGCCAGCACTACGATGGCCGCCTGATTGCCAGAGCATGATAATTAGGCCGTCCTAATGCTGGCTGAGGTTAATTAACCTAATGTGCTACATCTTCCAAATATGTCACCTGACTGTCTGATAAGAGGGGGAGGGGTGACATACACAGACAGGCATTTCCATCGATACTGATAATATATCAATACTATCAACAACAACAAAAAAGATTGCATATTTATGTGCTATGATAATCGCTAATTGTGTCTCCAACGTGTTCTAACTATTCTATGTAATGTGTCGCTAATGTGTTCGTGTGTGATTTTCTCTGGTGCCAAATGCAGTGTTTGTGTCCTGTCTCATGTATTGCATGTCTTCTTTGTCTCCTCTCTGCCATCTCTTAATCTCTCTCATCCTCTGTCTCATGTCTCTTTCTCTCTCCATCTCTTGCTCTCTGTCTTTGTCTCAGTCTCATATTTCAGTCTGTTTGTGTCTTGTCAGATTTCTGACAAAAATGTGTATAATGCAGTTAAACACTTTGGGAGCATTTTAGCAGTGTACAGATTTACTTTTTGTTTAACGCTGTCTTCTCTGATCCAGCACCTGGGACAGTTTTTAATTGGTGTGTGCATACCACTCAATGATTTATATATACACTAGATGAGATTAAGAGAGGACATCTGACAGTCTCTATGGGGGTGCCACAGGGTTCAATTCTCGGACAGACTCTATTCTCTGTGTATATCAATGATGTCGCTCTTGCTGCTGGTGACTCTCAGATCCACCTCTACATAGACGACACCATTTTGTATACATCTGGCCCTTCATTGGACACTGTGTTAACAAACCTCCAAACGAGCTTCAATGCCATACAACACTCCTTCCGTGGCCTCCAACTGCTCTTAAACGCTAGTAAAACTAAATGCATGCTCTTCAATCGAACGCTGCTTGCACCCGCCCGCCCGACTAGAATCACTAATCTCGGCGGGTCTGACTTAGAATATGTGGACAACTACAAATACCTAGGTGTCTGGTTAGACCGTAAACTCTCCTTCCAGACTCACATTAAGCATCTCCAATCCAAAGTTAAATCTAGAATCGGCTTCCTATTTCACAACAAAGCCTCCTTCACTCATGCTGCCAAACATGCCCTCGTAAAACTGACTATCCTACCGATCCTTGACTTTGGCGATGTCATTTACAAAATAGCTTCCAGCACTCTACTCAGCAAATTGGATGTAGTCTATCACAGTGCCATCCGTTTTGTCACCAAAGCCCCATATACTACCCACCATTGTGACCTGTACGCTCTCGTTGGCTGGCCCTCACTACATATTCGTCGCCAAACCCACTGGCTCCAGGTCATCTATAAATCACTTCTAGGGAAATCCCCGCCTTATCTTAGCTCATTGGTCACCATAGCAACACCCACCCGTAGTATGCGCTCCAGCAGGTATATCTCACTGGTCATCCCCAAAGCCAACACCTCCTTTGGCCGCCATTCCTTCCAGTTCTCTGCTGCAAATGACTGGAATGAACTGCAAAAATCTCTGAAGCTGGAGACACTTATCTCCCTCACTATCTTTAAGCATCAGTTGTCAGCAGCTTACCGATCACTGCACCTGTACTGTCACACCCTGGCTCTGGGGACTCTATATGTTGAGCCAGGGTGTGTAGATTATATGTGTTTGTGTTCTGTGTTGTAGATTCTAGTTGTTGTATTTCTATGTTGGCCAGAGTGGTTCTCAATCAGAGGCAACGAGTGTCAGCTGTTGCTGGTTGTCTCTGATTGGGAACCACATTTAGACAGGCTGTTTTCCCACAGTAGTTGTGGGATCTTGTTCCGTGTTGGTTGTGTTAGACCTAGGACGTCACGTTATCGTTTGTTGTTTTGTTTATTGTGTGCACTTAATAAAATAAGTATGTACGAATATCACGCTGCGCCTTGGTCTTACTCCTTCGACGAACGTGACAGAAGATCCCACCACACCAGGACCAAGCAGCGTGTCCAGGAGCACACGCAGGAGGTAACTTTAGTAGATGTCCTCCTCGGTTGGGGGCAGATTACGGAGGAGGAGGCCGTCCGTTGCCGGAGGGCTATGAAGGGGGAGACCCAGGCAGGAGAGGAGAAGCGGCGCCAACCGGGCCGTGGTCGGACAGGCGAGAGGCACCCCCAAAAAATGTTTAGGGGGGGGCACATGGCATGGACGACAGGGCTGCTGGAGGCAGAGAAGGGGCGAGTTCGTGGACGAGGAGAAGGCCACCGGGTTACGGGAGCCATTGGTGAGAAAAGGGAAGGAAGATGTAGAGGCACGGCGAGAGGTACTGAGGTGTATTGCCAGTCCGGTCCGGCCCGTTCCTGATCCCCGTTTAAGGCCAGTGGTGTGTGTTCCCAGTACGGTCCGGCCTGTTCCTGTCCCTCGCACCAAGCCTACGGTGCGCGTCGCCAGCCCGGCCCGGCCTGTTCCTGCCCCTCGCACCAAGCCTACGGTGCGCGTCGCCAGCCCGGCCCGGCCTGTTCCTGCCCCTCGCACCAAGCCTACGGTGCGCGTCGCCAGCCCGGCCCGGCCTGTTCCTGCTCCCCGCACCAAGCCAACGGTGCGCGTCGCCAGCCCGGCCCGGCCTGTTCCTGCTCCCCGCACCAAGCTAATGGTGCGCGTCGCCAGCCCGGCCCGGCCTGTTCCTGCTCCCCGCACCAAGCCAATGGTGCGCGTCGCCAGCCCGGCCCGGCCTGTTCCTGCTCCCCGCACCAAGCCAATGGTGCGCGTCGCCAGCCCGGCCCGGCCTGTTCCTGCCCCTCGCACCAAGCCTACGGTGCGCGTCGCCAGCCCGGCCCGGCCTGTTCCTGCTCCCCGCACCAAGCCAATGGTGCGCGTTGCCAGCCCGGCCCGGCCTGTTCCTGCCCCTCGCACCAAGCCTACGGTGCGCATCGCCAGCCCGGCCCGGCCTGTTCCTGCTCCCCGCACCAAGCTAATGGTGCGCGTCGCCAGCCCGGCCCGGCCTGTTCCTGCCCCTCGCACCAAGCCAATGGTGCGCGTCGCCAGCCCGGCCCGGCCTGTTCCTGCTCCCCGCACCAAGCCAATGGTGCGCGTCGCCAGCCCGGCCCGGCCTGTTCCTGCCCCTCGCACCAAGCCAATGGTGCGCGTCGCCAGCCCGGCCCGGCCTGTTCCTGCTCCCCGCACCAACCCAATGGTGCGCGTCGCCAGCCCGGCCCGGCCTGTTCCTGCTCCCCGCACCAAGCTAATGGTGCGCGTCGCCAGCCCGGCCCGGCCTGTTCCTGTCCCTCGCACCAAGCCAATGGTGCGCGTCGCCAGCCCGGCCGGCCTGTTCCTGCTCCCCGCACCAAGCCAATGGTGCGCGTCGCCAGTCCGGCCCGGCCTGTTCCTGCTCCCCGCACCAAGCCAGGGGTGCGCATCGTCAGCCCGGTCCGGCCCGTTCCTGCTCCACGCACCAAGCCAGGGGTGCGCATCGTCAGCCCGGTCCGGCCCGTTCCTGCTCCACGCACCAAGCCAGGGGTGCGCGTCGTCAGTCCGGCACAACCCGTGCCTGGGTCACCGGTGCCTGGTCAGGTACCGGTCAGCTGCTCCACACCGGAGCCTAAGCAATCCGCTCCTACGATGTCCAGTCCAGCTCCAGCCAGCGGGGCCAGACCGGACCAGGGGCGCTACGGGGGGATTGTTGGAGGGTGGTGGTCAAGCCCGGAGCCGGAACCGCCTCCGAGGAGGAATGCCCACCCAGCCCTCCCCTGTTTGGTTTATGTTTAGGCGCGGTCGCAGTCCGCGCCTTTGGGGGGGGGGTACTGTCACACCCTGGCTCTGGGGACTCTATATGTTGAGCCAGGGTGTGTAGATTCTATGTGTTTGTGTTCTGTGTTGTAGATTCTAGTTGTTGTATTTCTATGTTGGCCAGAGTGGTTCTCAATCAGAGGCAACGAGTGTCAGCTGTTGCTGGTTGTCTCTGATTGGGAACCACATTTAGACAGGCTGTTTTCCCACAGTAGTTGTGGGATCTTGTTCCGTGTTGGTTGTGTTAGACCTAGGACGTCACGTTATCGTTTGTTGTTTTGTTTAGTGTGTGCACTTAATAAAATAAGTATGTACGAATATCACGCTGCGCCTTGGTCCTCCTCCTTCGACGAACGTGACATGTACACAGCCCATCTGTAATTAGCCCACCCAACTACCTCATCCCCATATTGTTATTTACATTGTTATTTATTTTGCTAATTTGCACCCCAGTATCTCTATTTGCACATCATCTTCTGCACATCTATCATTCCAGTGTTAATACTAAATTGTAATTATTTTGCACTATGGCCTATTTATTGCCTTACCTCCATAACTTACTACATTTGCACACACTGTACATAGATTTTCTATTGTGTTATTGACCGTACGTTTTGTTTATTCCATATGTAACTCTGAGTTGTTGTTGTTTTTATCGCACTGCTTTGCTTTATCTTGGCCAGATCACAGTTGTAAATGAGAACTTGTTCTCAACTGGCTTTCCTAGTTAAATAAAGGTGAAATAAAAAATTAATAAAATAAAATGACTAACATAGGTGTAAAAAATATTTTGTATACTATAGAAATGCATTTATTACTGTCTACATTTGTTTTTGCCACGTTTACTATATTACAAACACCTTAATGCATACTTTTAAATTATATTATGTGAGCTAATCAAAATTAAAATTATAATTAAAGAATATATACAAATATTTAGGAAAGTGCTAATGTTACTGTCCCCAGTACAACAAAACAATACTTAAATACATGTAATTTTGTCCTCAAAACATTTAATTGAAACACTGTAGAATTATTTTAGTTCCTATAGAGCCCCACAGTGGAGGTTTCATAATACCCATAAAACCAAGCGGTTAAACAGGGAAATTTCCCATAGGGGATTTTAGAAACACTTACCCTGGCGTGACGTTTTGATAACCATGTAAATCTCTCTCGGACAAGGTGACTTTTATCAATATATTTGGCTCTATTAACTCTTAGATTCGAAAATGCTAATTAGCATCAAAGTAGACATCATGCAAATCTAAAAATCCCTGCAAGCTCCTGCACGTCATCTCTAGCTGACACCTTTGCTAACAGGTATTGTGTCAATTTAAAACTTGCACAAGACAGTTCACAGAATTCTCCTAATAAAGAAATGTAGCCAATTTATTAATTACTACATTTAGCTAACATTAGATAGTTAATCCAGAGATTCTTACCTTGCCTCGATTCGGCAGTCTCATCCAGATCATCATAGCATTCGTAGTTCTTTATGATAGCTGCATTAGCATTTCATTTTTGGGGGGTAAATACAGGCGAATATATTGATAAGTCACCTTGTCCTGGAGAGATTTACACGGTTATCAAAACATCATGCCAGGATAAGCCTACATGAAACATAGCCCTTATTTTAAATGTTTCTAAAATCCCCTATGGGAAAAATTAATGGTGGAAAAATGATTGGAACCATTTCCCTGTTTGACCGCTCGGTTTTATGGGTATTATGACTCATACTGTGGTACTCTATGGAGGACTGCTTCTTCTGAGGAGTGCCAATATGGCTGACCGGTGGCTTTAAAGCCTGTCATTGGCGGCCTCATAGCATCAGCAATCCGGGGTTTATTTACCGTGCCTTCAGAAAGTATTCACACATTTTGTTGTGTTACAGCCTGAGTTTAAAATTGATTAAATTGAGATTTTCTGTCACTGGCCTACACACAATACCCCATAATGTCAAAGTGGAATTATGTTTTTAGACCCTAAATAAGTTCAGGAGAAAACATTTGCTTAACAAGTCACATAATAAGTTGCATGGACTTATGTGCAATAATAGAGTTTAACATGATTTTTGAATGACTACCTCATCTCTGTACCCCACACATACAATTATCTGTAAGGTCCCTCAGTCGAGCAGTGAATTTCAAACACAGATTCAACCACAAAGACCAGGGAGGTTTTCCAATGCCTCGCAAAGAAGGGCACCTATTGGTAGATGGGTAAAAATAAAAAAGCAGTCATTGAATATCCCTTTGAGCATGGTGAAGTTATCAATTACACTTTGGATGGTGTATCAATACACCCAGTCACTACAAAGATACAGGCGTCCTTCCTTACTCAGTTGCCATGGAGGAAGGAAACCGCTCAGGGATTTCACCATGAGGCCAATGGTGACTTTAAAACAGTTGTAGAGTTTTCTTTTACTTTATTTTCTTTTACCCTTATTTTACCAGGTAAGTTGACTGAGAACACATTCTCATTTACAGCAACGACCTGGGGAATAGTTACAAGGGAGAGGAGGGGGATGAATGAGCCAATTGGAAGCTGAGGATGATTAGGTGGCCATGATGGTATGAGGGCCAGATTGGGAATTTAGCCAGGACACTGGGGTTAACAACCCTACTCTTACGATAAGTGCCATGGGACCACAGAGAGTCAGGATACCCGTTTAACATCCCAACCCGAAAGACGGCACACTACACAGGGCAATGTCCCCAATCACTGCCCTGGGGCATTGGGATATTGTTTTAGACCAGAAAAAAGAGTGCCTCCTACTGGCCTTCCATAACCACTACCAGCAGCATCAGGTCTCCCATCCAAGGACCAACCAGGACCAACCCTGCTTAGCTGCAGATGCAGCACTGGCTGTAATAGGAGAAAACTGAGGATGGATCAACAACATTGTATTTACTCCACAATACTAACCTAATTGATAGTGAAAAGAAGAAACCCTGTACAGAATATTCCAAAATGTGCGTCCTGTTTGCAACAAGGCACTAAAGTAATACTGCAAAAAATGTGGCAAAGCAATTAACTTTTTGTCCTGAATACAAAGTGTTATGTTTGGACCAAATCCAATACAACACATTACTGAGTACCACTCTACATATGTTCAAGCGTAGTGGTGGCTGCATCATGTTATGGGTATGCTTGTAATCGTTAAGGACTGGGGAGTTATTCAGGATAAAAAAGAAACGGAATGGAGCTAAGCACATTCAAAATCATAGAGGAAAACCTGGTTCAGTCTGCTTTCCACCAGACGCTGCGAGATGAATTCACCTTTCAGCAGGACAATCACCTAAAACACAAGGCCAAATCTACACTGGAGTTGCTTACCAAGAAGACAGTGAATGTTCCTGAGTGGCCGAGTTACAGTTTTGACTTAAATCTACTTGAAAATCTATGGCAAGACCTGAAAATAGTCATCTAGCAATGATCAACAACCAATTTGGCAGAGCTTGATGAATTTTGAAAATAACAATGGGCAAATGTTGCACAATCCAGGTGTGGAAAGCTCTTAGAGACTTACCCAGAAAGACTCACAGCTGTAATCGTTGCCAAAGGTGCTTCTACAAAGTATTGACTCAGGGGTGTGAATTCTTATGTAAATTAGATATTTCTGTATTTCATTTTCAAAACATGTGCAATAAGTTCTAAAAAGATGTTTTCACTTTGTCATTATTGGTATTATGTGTAGATGGGTGAGAGCAAAACATATATTTAATCAATTTAGAATTCAGGCTGTAACACAAGAAAATATGGAATAAGTCAAGGGGTATGACTACTTTCTGAAGGCACTTTACATTAATGATACCACTCCATTAGACTGGCAGTTATAGTCATGGAAATACATTGGTGTGTTTGTGTCGATGCATGCATGTGTATCTCTCACCAGGCCAGTGCGACTGGGCCGCCCGCCCACTGAGGAAGCCACAGAGCTAACAGAGCTGATGGATGAGCTGCTGGGGCTGTGGGCCAGCGACGACACCCCCATGGCCATGCGCTTGCTCTTCTTGGCCTTGGCCGGGCTGGTGGAGGGGAAACCGATACGGACCACCTTGTGGATGGGCGCGAACAGTCCAAACCTGGGCGGGCACTGGAAATATCTGGGTCAGAGGTAGAGAATGACCGATATGGGTTTATAAGGGCTAATGCTGATTTGTGGGGGTCAAGAAGGCTGACATTTTATGCCGATAATAAATATAATTAATTGTTAACATTTTGATGATCAATTTTCCCAGAGACAGCCATGTATCAATTATACAAGCATACAATCAATTTGACTTTGTAACAATCTAACTACATAACAACATAATGGTAAGAATTGATTTTAATGGTAAATATCTTGATAAACTGGGTACATCAAGATGGCATAGGCCTACAATACAGGTGAATTCATATTCAATAGGAATGTGTGCATGCATTGAGTTATTGAGCTAGTTTTGACTGATTTCAGTGGTCTATGAGGCTACAGATGGCAATCTGTTTCCCTTTCATTTAGGACCATATTAGGCCTACAAACCGGGCTTCCGTTGCTTCCAGAGGCATTTTGGAACTCGGTAGTGAGTGTTGCGAACGAGGACAGACGATTTTTACGCACTATGCACTTCAGCACTCGGCAGTCCCGTTCTGTGAGCTTGTGTGGCCTACCACTTCGCGGCTGAGCCGTTGTTTCTCCTAGATGTTTCCACTTCACAATAACAGCTCTTACAGTTGACCGGGGCAGCACTAGCAGGGCAGAAATTTGACAACCTGACTTGTTGGAAAGGTGTTATCCTATGACGGTGCTACGCTGAAAGTCACTGAGCTCTTCAGTAAGGCTATTCTACTGCCAATGTTTGTCTATTGAGATTGCATGGCGGTGTGCTCAATTTTATACACCTGTCAACAATGGGTGTGGCTGAAATAGCCAAATCCACTAATTTGAAGGGGTGTCCACATAATTTTGTATATACAGTGCATTCGGAAAGTATTCAAACCCCTTGACTTTTTCCACATTTTGTTATGTTACAGCCTTATTCTAAAATTGATTAAATTGTTTTTTTCCCTCATCAATCTACACACAATACCCCATAATGATATAAAAAAACGGGAAAATCACATTTACATAAGTATTCAGACTCTTTACTCAGCACTTTGTTGAAGCACCATTGGCAGCGATTACAGCCTCGGGTCTTCTTGGGTATGACGCTACAAGCTTGGTACACCTATATTTGGGGAGTTTCTCCCATTCTTCTCTGCAGATCCTCTCAAGCTCTGTCAGGTTGAATGGGGATTTTCAGGTCTCTCCAGAGATGTTTGATCGGGTTCAAGTCCGGGCTCTGGCTGGGTCACTTAAGGACATTCAGAGACTTGTCCTGAAACCACTCCTGCGTTGTCTTGGCTGTGTGCTTAGGGTCGTTGTCCTGTTGGAAGGTGAACTTTCGCCCCAGTCTGAAGTTCCGAACGCTCTGGATCAAGGATCTCTCTGTACTTTGCTCCGTTCATCTTTCCCTCAATCTTGACTAGTCTCCCAGTCCCTGTAGCTGAAAAAAATCTCCACAGCATGATGCTGCCACCACCATGCTTCACCGTAGACATGGTGCCAGGTTTCCTCCAGACGTGACGCTTGGCATTCAGGCCAAAGAGTTCAATCTTGGTTTCATCAGACCAGAGAATCTTGTTTCTCATGGTCTGTGAATCCTTTAGTTGACTTTTGGCAAACTCCAAGTGGGCTGTCATGTACCTTTTACTGAGGAGTGTCTTCCATCTGGCCAATCTACCATAAATGCCTGATTAGCGGAGTGCTGCAGAGAGGGTTGTCCTTCTGGATGGTTCTCCCATCTCCACAGAGGAACTCTGGAGCTTTGTCAGAGTGACCATCGGGTTCTTGGTCACCTCCCTGATCAAAGTGGTCCTCTGTAGCTCAGCTGGTAGAGCACGGCGCTTGTAACGCTAAGGTAGTGGGTTCGATCCCCGGGACCACCCATACACAAAAAATGTATGCACGCATGACTGTAAGTCGCTTTGGATAAAAGCGTCTGCTAAATGGCATATTATATTATTATATTATTATATCAAGGCCCTTCTCCCCCGATTGTTCAGTTTGTTCAGCTCTAGGAAAAGTCTTGGTGGTTCCAAACTTCTTCCATTTAAGAATGATGGAGGCCACTGTGTTCTTGGGGACCTTCAATGCTGCAGACATTTTTTGGTACCCTTCCCAGATCTGTGCCTCGACATAATCCTATCTCGCAGCTCTATGGACAATTCCTTCAACCTCATGGCTTGGTTTTTGCTCTGACCTGCACTGTCAACTTTGGGACCTTATATAGACAGGTGTGTGCCTTTCCAAATCATGTCCAATCAATTGAATTTACCACAGGTGGACTCCAATGAAGTTGAAGGATGATCAATGGAAACAGGATGCTGCTGAGCTCAATTTCGAGTCTCATAGCAAAGGGTCTGAATACTTATGTAAATAGGTTTATTTTTATTTAAATGTTTTATACATTTGCAAACATTTCTCAAAACCTGTTTTTTTCATTATGGGGTATTGTGTGTAGGATTTTTAAAAACATTTAATCCATTTTAGAATAAGGCTGTAAGGTAGCAAAATAAGGAAAAAGTCAAGGGATCTGAATACTTTCCGAAGGCATATGAAATGAGTAAAGTGACTAGTGTTCCATTATTAAAGTGACCAGTGATTCCATGTCTATGTACATAGGGCAGCAGCCTCTAAGGTGCAGGATTGAGTAACCGGGTGGAAGCCGGCTAGTGATGGCTATTTAACAGTCTGATGGCCTTGAGATAGAAGCTGTTTTTCAGTCTCTCGGTCCCAGCTTTGATGCACCTGTGCTGACCTCGCCTTCTGGATGATAGCTGGGTGAACAGGTTGTGGCTCGGGTGGTTGATGTCCTTGATGATCTTTATGGCCTTCCTGTGACATCGGGTGCTGTAGGTTTATTTTTTATTTAAATTGTTTTAACCTTTATTTAACCAGGTAAGCCAGTTGAGAACAAGTTCTCATTTACAACTGCGACCTGGCCAAGATACAGCAAAGCAGTGCGATAAAAAACAACAACACAGAGTTACATATGGGGTAAACAAAACATAAAGTTAAAAATACAACAGAAAATATATATACAGTGTGTGCGAATGTAGTAAGTTATGGAGGTAAGGCAATAAATAAATAGGCCATAGTGCAAAAATAGTTACAATTTCGTAATTAACACTGGAATGATAGATGTGCAAAAGATGATGTGCAAATAGAGATACTGGGGTGCAAATGAGCAAAATAAATAACAATATGGGGATGAGGTAGTTGGGTGGGCTAATTTCAGATGGGCTGTGTACAGGTGCAGAGATCGATAAGGTGCTCTGACAACTGATGCTTAAAGTTAGTGAGGGAGATAAGAGTCTCCAGCTTCAGAGATTTTTGCAATTCGTTCCAGTCATTGGCAGCAGAGAACTAGAAGGAATCCTGGAGGGCGGGTAGTTTGCCCCCGGTGCAGTTGCCGTACCAGGCGGTGATACAGCCCGACAGGATGCTCTCAATTGTGCATCCCGGACAAGCTAAACATCTTCTTCGCCCGCGTTGAGGATAACACAGTGCTACCGACGCGGCCCGCTCCCAAGGACTGTGGGCTCTCGTTCTACGTGGCCGACGTAGAAGTGGCCCGTCTGAAGTTTGCCAATGACCATCTGGATGATCCAGAGGAGGAATGGGAGAAGGTCATGTGGTCTGATGAGACAAAAATATCGCTTTTTGGTCTAAACTCCACTCGCCGTGTTTGGAGGAAGAAGAAGGATGAGTACAACCCCAAGAACACCATCCCAACCGTGAAGCATGGAGGTGGAAACATCATTCTTTGGGGATGCTTTTCTGCAAAGGGGACAGGACGACTGCACCGTATTGAAGGGAGGATGGATGGGGCCATGTATCGCGAGATCTTGGCCAACAACCTCCTTCCCTCAGTAAGAGCATTGAAGATGGGTCGTGGCTGGGTCTTCCAGCATGACAACGACCCGAAACACACAGCCAGGGCAACTAAGGAGTGGCTCTGTAAGAAGCATCTCAAGGTCCTGGAGTGGCCTAGCCAGTCTCCAGACCTGAACCCAATAGAACATCTTTGGAGGGAGCTGAAAGTCCGTATTGCCCAGCGACAGCCCCGAAACCTGAAGGATCTGGAGAAGGTCTGTATGGAGGAGTGGGCCAAAATCCCTGCTGCAGTGTGTGCAAACCTGGTCAAGACCTACAGGAAACGTATGATCTCTGTAATTGCAAACAAAGGTTTCTGTACCAAATATTAAGTTCTGCTTTTCTGATGTATCAAATACTTATGTCATGCAATAAAATGCAAATTAATTACTTAAAAATCATACAATGTGATTTTCTGGATTTTTGTTTTAGATTCCATCTCTCACAGTTGAAGTGTACCTATGACATAAATTACAGACCTCTACATGCTTTGTAAGTAGGAAAACCTGCAAAATCGGCAGTGTATCAAATACTTGTTCTCCCCACTGTATGTATATATTCTTAAATTCCATTCCTTACTTAGATTTGTGTGTATTGGGTATAAGTTGTTAAATTGTTAGATATTACTTGTTAGATATTACTGCACTGTCGGAGCTAGAAGCACAAGCATTTAGCTACACCCGCTATAACATCTACTAAACAGGTGTATGTGACAAATAACATTTGATTTGATTTGATTTGATGTCACACATCACTACTTCACAGGAGAGCCATTTAAATGTAAACTTTTTTAACAAACTTGTTAGCCATCTGTAAATACGAATACAATTGTTAAAATTACGAGCCTAGTCGGTTTAGCCATCAAAAAAGACAGGAACCTTCCCGCTAGCCATGATTGTCTGAGATAATGAGTGGCCTGGACATGCCGAGAGATGAGTTTGGATTGGTCTGCCATGTAGCACGCTTCTGTCTATAACATGGGCTAGGTAATCCTTTCTAACGCGGCTTTTTTGAATGATATCACGTAATAGAACTGCAAAAAGCAAAAGAGTTGCTCTCTGGTGGAATTAGAGTATGATAGCTAAGGAGATGGAGAAAATTCTGCCGTTTGATTGGAAATATGCAGAGGGAGTCAAAAAGAGAACACACAGAAGGCTGTTGTATAAAACACCTGTCTCTGGATTACATCTTCAAACTAAGGGCAACCATGGCATCCGTGACAAAGAGGGAGCTAGCTAACGTTGTATGATCTGTGTAGTAATATTATGTGTATCTCAGAGCCATTTGCATTGCTAGTTATAGCCTAATGTTAGCTAGCTAGCTAACATTGAACCTGGTTGCTTAGCTACCTGCAGATTCATGGTAAAACAAAATGTCTAAACAAAAGACTCCACTATGCAAGTAACCATTTCAATAGAATGTTCATGATGTCACTGCGACAATTGTCAATAGACGAAGCTCTCGTCTGAGTGTGCCAGAGCACAGAATAACTGACGAATTTACGAACACTCAACACCCGTTGAATATGGCCGGTGTCAGTAAACGTTGGCAAAAAAACATAATTAAATTGTTGCCAGCAGCACAGTTATGGTCACTAACACTCTGGATAACATAAGAACAGCCTAACCAGCTCTGCTAGGGCGAGTAAAATGGTCAGAGTGAGGTGTTCTCTCATTTGTGTCTGGAAGTAGCTAGCAAGCTAGCCAACGTTAGCCAGTTAGCTTGGGTGCTTGACTGCTGTTTTTAGGTCAGAACGCTCGGATCAACCCTACTCCTCGGCCAGAGCGTCCAGTGTGCACTCTAAACGCTATGAATTTTGCTACATAAGACCGAATCGAGCTGGTCGGTCACATATTCCCAGTCACCTTGCCATAGTTAAATGCGGTGGTTCGCGCTTTCAGTTTTGCGCAAATGCTGCCATCTATCCACGGTTTTTGGTTTGGGTAGGTTTTAATAGTCACAGTGGGAACAACATCCCCTATACACTTCCTGATGAACTCAGTCACCGTGTCCATGTATATGTCAATGTTATTCTCAGAGGCTACTTGGGAGGTAATACGGTCGGCATTTGATTGTGAGGTATTCTAGGTCGGGTGAAAAAAACACTTGAGTTTCTGTACGTTATCACTATCACACCATGAGTAGTTAATCATAAAATATACACTACCGCCTTTCTTCTTCCTGGAGAGTTCTTTATTCCTGTCTGCGCGATGTCCTGAGAACACAGCTGACTGTATGGACGGGGACAGTATATCCGGAGAAAGCCATGATTCCGTGAAACAGAGTATGTTACAGTCCCTGATGTCTCTCTGGAAGGAGATCCTCGCCCTGAGCTTGTCTACTTTATTGTCCAGAGACTAAACATTAGCGATTAATATACTCGGAAGTGGTGGATGGTGTGCATGCCTCCTGAGTCGGACTAGAAGTCCACTCCGAACACTAGCCTCTGCCATATGGACACATTGATACACCGTGAGCCATTGGCGGCTAAAGAAATTAGCGTAAGGAACTCAGAGATAGGCTAATGCATCAGTAGGCCTATAACTTCCATTGTCAACTAAGTAAGATTAAGATTAATGAACTAAATGTAAGTCGCTCTGGATAAGAGTGTCTGCTAAATGACTCAAATGTAAATGTAAAAATGGGAAGTGTTGGAAAGATTTTCCAATACTGTGAGGAACTAGCCTATTAAGCTATCATTTGCAATGGATGTTTAAAAAAACTGACTTCGTTGACTGTGGTGGTGAGTTACAGTTTTTTACAATCACTTTGGCACTAATTTCAGAACCTTGACGTCATTTTTCAAAACTCTAGACACAAAACTCACAACCAATGATCAAAATGCACATTTTTCAAAACTCTAACACTTTTTTCAATTGCTTGGATACAATACACATAAAACTAAGATCATTTGTTCATTTAACAAAAGTCACCTGTTCAATATGACACAACTTAATATCAAAGTACTACTATTTCAAAAGGCAATTCACACATTACATTTCAGATGAGTGTCTCCTCATTTCATTACAATTATCCAACTATCAATTGATACAACTGCTCAAAATGATAAGTAACTGTTGCATTACTCTTAATGCATAGTTGTATGGAAACAGACAAACAATATTCCATGTTTAGATCATGAAAGTTTCAAAGTAACGAGATTCATTGTCACCAATTAGCGTGGAGCATGAACCAATTAGAATACATTATCTATGGATGTAATATTTCATCATCATTCTTTATCAGACACTGTTTCTATGGTCCCCTTGTAACCTTCCTTGATGAGCTCGATCAGGTCTGTAGAGCTGATGGCGTGACCTAGTCATCGTGTGGGATAATGTCAGGTTCCACCATGCTCATATGATGCAAGCATGGTTTCAGGCCCATGCACAATTGACCACCCTGTATTTACCCCCATACTCTCCTTTCCTTAACCCGATTAAGGAATATTTCTCCACATGGAGATGGAAGGTTTATGATAGGCGCCCTCATGAATAAGTCACTCTTCTCCAGGCCATGGATGACGCATGCAATGACATCACGGCAGACCAGTGTCAGGCCTGGATTCGCCATGGCCAAAGGTTTTTCCCAAGATGTTTGACTAATGAAAACATCCATTGTGATGTAGATGAGAACCTGTGCCAAAACCACAAGACAGAGTTGATGAAAATGTAGAAGTACAGTAATCACTCCTATGTTTTGCTTTTTACAGTACAAGCAAGCAAGTTGATGTTTTACAGTACTGTATTGTTTTTCATCAATATATTTCAGATTTTGTTCAATGATTCCACTGTGTCTGTGGTATTCTCTCTACTACTGCAGTACTTTTACAGGGATGTATTTACATGTAGTACCATAATGAAACATGTATCACCTATTTTGTACTACAATATTTAATGATTGTACGAACAATGACACAGTGAAACTATCGGTTGCTTGTGTGTGGGTGATCTAAATTAACGTTTCATTGGTATTTCACAATAAATTTGTATTTTGAATCAATGATTGTGCAAGTGTAAGATTTCTTTAAAGATATGAATGCACAATGCAATGTTTTGAACATTGGACAGCCTGTGTTACAAGTGATGACCGTTTTGAGTTTTGTGTCTAGAGTTTTGAAAAGTGACGTCAAGGTTCTGAAATTAGTGCCAAAGTGATTGTAAAAAACTGTAATACAATCAGAAATCAGAGATCCCCAATTGGGCACTTTCCTACATTTGTGAGCAGCAGGCCAGGTACTTCTATGTGTGCTCAGGCATGCGGGTTCCGTCAACATTAACAGGACAGAGAAACCAGACACATACTCATTGCTCACATGGAGCGGTTCAAACAAAATACAATAAAAAAAATGTACCTAACTAATAAATTATGTTTCTCACAAGTGTAGCAGGTTGTGAACTCTGAATGAGAATGGTAAATGACTGTAATTAATACATGCATTAATGGACCAAATGTAACCAAATGACAGGGATTAACGGTAAATGTACTACTGGTGACATACAGTATGTAATGGGGAATTGATAAAACTAAACGATCAAAGTGCAAACAATTCACATAATAAAACAATGAATGCACATGAATTGGCGGGAGACAGCTGAGCGCATTCTGGAGAGCTGAGCGAATGCATTCTGGAGAGAGACACTGCCTATATCTTCGCCACACACCCCCTCCCCTTCTTCCTGTCTCAACATTTACAAGTATTATACTCAAGACACATAACCTTCACACATATTTTAGAGGCTTTTCACTGACAACTGCAACTCAATTATCAGCTAGGCCTATTGCCACGCATGCTGCCCAAATTGTGGGCTTCCCAACTAGGCATAGGCCTACACGCTTGGGATTTGAAACAATCACCAGCAATTTTTTTTAAAGAAGCTAATGATCCTCTGTGACTAAGTTATGCTCTCGCTCTCTCTCTCACCTAGGACGGAATATCATCCAGGACCGGGCCTGAGTGAACCTCTTAGATGTTAAGTCCCCCATATTTATTTTACAGTTATAAGAAATGTGAATTCTTATAGTAAGTCATTTATAATTTGATTGTTACTATATTTAGACAGCATTTCAATCATTTCATGCCCTATTTTTGTTGAATAGGGGGGAAAAAATCATATATGATTTTTCATATTTTCATAATATTTGTACTATGTATTTGAGCTTGTGTCCTCAGAAGTGAGTACACCTCAGCAATTTATTTAAAAAAATTACCAGAAAGGTGAGTTCCACACCCAACATTTTTTGCAACTCAAATAATCAGGATGGGGGACATTTTTATTAGGAGGGACGTCTACCATGGATTGCTAAAATAATTATTCTGATCACACTTCCTCAATTTAAATATTATGGAGACACCTATACATTTGGCAGCCAAGCATGAGTTATCAGTGTAGCCTGTTATCATCTAGACATGACGTTGAAATATCTTCACGCCTAGAATAAAAACCTCCACCCCAGGCTTCTGTCATAAGAGTCAATTTAATAAAACAAACAAAAATATAATTACAGTCCTGTGCGAATCGTCCTTTGGAATAAAGCAAATGCTTGGATAATAATTACATAACCAACTTCCCTAGTAATACTAGTCCCGTCCAAATAGGGCTATATAACACAGCAAATAATAGGCTTATCGGCGTAGAGAGTGCGCCGCATCATCCCATAGGATCTGTCAAGGCTGAGCACAGTAGAAGTATCACTGAAATATTCTAGTTCCTACACATCACCTTCTATATACAAACAAAATAGGCCTTTTATAAATTGATAAGCAAATGGGCAGTATCATGCTCATGCCAGTCCTCCCTAGAACGCAAAATTAGTCTTCCTATTAGGACTCTGCAATAATGAGGTGGTGTGTGCGCAGCCGTTTTAGCGTGTTTTGGGAGTCGAGCAAGAGTCGACTTTTAACTCCAACAACAGGAGTTGGAGTTGACTCCAAAAATCCTGAAGTCGTGGTGGCCCATGTTGACTCCAATGCTTCCCACAGTTGTGTCAAGTTGGATGGATGTCCTTTGGGTGGTGGACCATTCTTGATACACACGGGAAACTGTTGATCGTGAAAAACCCAGCAGCGTTGCAGTTCTTGACACAAACCGGTGCGCCTGGCACATACTACCATACCCCGTTCAAAGGCACTTAAATATTTTGTCTTGCCCATTCACCCTCTGAATGGCGCACATACACAATCCATGTCTCAATTGTCTCAAGGCTTAAAAATCCTGGCTGTGACCCCACTCTCCGAAGGTGTCTCAGGGGGAGTTGGGACAAATAGGACAAATATAAGCACCCACCAAATTATTTATTATTATTTAAAAGTCTTATGTCTTCTACCCTTTAAAAAGGTTTGAGTAAAATTAGCTCTATTTTTATAAAAAAATGTTGGCTTCTACCTAGCAAGGAAGTGGGCCATGGTTACTACATCGGAGGAAGGGATAATTACTGAGTAATTGACATCGGATATCATGCCCATGCATCCCAATGTCTGCAAAGGAGCGGCTAGAGAGAGTTTCACAGCAATTTTTTTATTTTAGACCGAGGCCCTCTTAGAAAAAGATTCCCATGCTATGTCTCGGCGACGTAAATACATGGTGAATTTCCTGTTGTCTCAATGTATTGCCTATGTAACTGAGTATGTAATTATGCTAAGTTGAGAGGGTTTTGTGCATGCAGTTACAGTCATGTTTGCTTTTTTCCTCTCTTTTAGGAAAGGGTAGGTAAACCGGAAGGATGAACCGGTATCAAGATATGCCTTGCTCAGATCGATATCAAAACGATATCGATATAATATCGAATGATCGATATTGGTGCCCACTACTAGGTTCCATCATGTCAAGTGGAATCAAGTCCTTTCATATCAGAGGTTATGAGAGAAAGGTGACAATGAGGAACTAAGACTGGCCATTCAAGACTATTGGGAAACATTATATTACATTCATCTTAGTGGCATGGTGGAAAAGTTATATAAATTTTCTAGTATGTATTATGTCATTAATAATATAGTACTATAAAATGTGATGCAAGTAATGGCTAGTTGCTGTCGAGCATTCCTTCACATCAAAAGGTATTTTAATATAAATCAATCACTTTAAGAGGTGGAAAACATGCTTTTGGTTAGGTGGGTTGAAATAACATTCAGAGTGGTGAAATAAACCTGTCACGCCCTGGCTCTGGGGACTCTAGTATGTTGAGCCAGGGTGTGAGTTTTCATTTGTTTTTCGTTCTAGTTTTGGCCAGTGTGGTTCTCAATCAGAGGCAACGTGTATCAGCTGTTGCTTGTTGTCTCTGATTGGGAACCATACTTAAGCAGCCAGTTTTCCCACAGTGTTTGTGGGATCTTGTTCCTGTGTAGGTTTGTGTTTTGCACCTTTGGACGTCACGTATCTATTTGTTGTTTTTGTTAGTGTAATCATTATTTAATAAATATGTTCACCTTCCACGCTGCGCCTTGGTCCTCTGTATCCGACGATCGTGACAGAAGATCCCACCAACACTGGACCAAGCAGCGTGTCCAGGAGCCAGCGCCAGAGGTATCGCTAAAGGACATCAACCTCGACTGGGCCTGGCCCAGGGGAGGAGAGACCCCCAGAAAATGTTTAGGGGGTGGCTCACGCCGTGGACAACGGGGCAGCAGGAGGCCGCGATAGAGCGGTCCAGCGGGTTTGCAGAGGAGGCCGCCAGGTTAAGGGGGCCACTGGTCACAGAGGAGAGGGAAAGTGTAGAGGCACGGCGAGAGGTACTGGGGTGTGTTACCAGTCCGGTCCGGCCCGTTCCTGATCCCTGCGTAGGGCCAGTGGTGTGTGTCCCCAGTACGGTCCGGCCTGTTCCTGTTCCTCGCATCGAGCCTGTGGTGCGCGTCGTCAGCCCGGCCCGGCCTGTTCCTGCTCCACGCACCAAGCCTATGGTGCGCATCGTCAGCCCGGCCCGGCCTGTTCCTGCTCCACGCACCAAGCCTATGGTGCGCATCGTCAGCCCGGTTCGGCCTGTTCCTGCTCCCCACACCAAGCCAGTGGTGTGCGTCGTCAGTCCGGCACAGCCCGTGCCTGTTCCACCGGTGCCTGGTCCGGCACCGGTCACCTGCTCCACGCCGGAGCTAGAGCAATCCGCTCTACCGGTGTTCAGTCCAGCTCCGGCCAGCAGGGTCAGACCGGACCAGGGGTACTTTGGGGGGTTGGAGAGGGAGTGGGAATCATGCCCGGAGCCGGATCCGCCGCCAAGGCGGAGTGCCCACTCGGTCCCTCCCCTGTGGTGTTTGGTTGGCGCGGCCGGAGTCCGCGCCTTTGGGGGGGGGGTACTGTCACGCCCTGGCTCTGGGGACTCTAGTATGTTGAGCCAGGGTGTGAGTTTTCATTTGTTTTTCGTTCTAGTTTTGTAGTTCTATGTTGGCCAGTGTGGTTCTCAATCAGAGGCAACGTGTATCTGCTGTTGCTTGTTGTCTCTGATTGGGAACCATACTTAAGCAGCCAGTTTTCCCACAGTGTTTGTGGGATCTTGTTCCTGTGTAGGTTTGTGTTTTGCACCTTTGGACGTCACGTATCGATTTGTTGTTTTTGTTCGTGTAATCATTATTTAATAAATATGTTCACCTTCCACGCTGCGCCTTGGTCCTCTGTATCCGACGATCGTGACAAAACCTTTCAAAAGCATATTTCAATAAATCAAATATGAAAGTGGAGGAAACTAGAGTATGTTGCCGATAGTATATGTTAGCACAGCTACTTTCCATCTCAAAACAAAATGTGAGATTTTGGGATTCATTTTGTAGGTAGAAGAGTGAAGTCATATTCTGGAGAGTGAAGTCATATTCTGTTTGCACAGCTATTTATGTTTCCACAATTTTGGAAATAATTCAGTTGAATATTGTGTTACAGAGGGGAATGCCTAGCTCTAATCGTTTACCATATAGTGGAATTGCAGCTAAAAAGAGAATGATGCTGTCTTGTCTGACACTAAACCACACATGATAGATGTTTTAAAGCCACTACTAGGCCTACAGCTAGATCTGCCAGACAGGTCTGTGTGGGGTGGGGTGGGGGGGGGGGGGGGGGGGTTGTGTGTGTGCATGCGAGCGTGTGTGTAGGAGAGCGAGAAAGAGACAGTGAGAGACAGAAACATTGAAATAAAGAATGAAAGAGAATGAGAAAGCGGGAATAGAGGAAGAATACAGAGAGAGCATGCAACAGAGATCCAGCAAGAGAAAGAGAGAGCGCACATATGCGAGGGAGTTAGATCAAGTAGGAGAGGGAAATGGAGAAACATACAGAAGGAGAGGGGGAGAGAGAGAGACACACACAGAGAGACAGACAGAGACATAGAGAAAGAGACATAAACACAGAGGCAGAGAGAGAGAGAGAGAGAAAGAGAGAGAGAGAGAGAGAGATGACAGACAGGCAGTGTATACCTGGTTCCAGCCACTGCACCGTCATTCTTCCCCAGGGGCTCGTCCAACTCCACGCCGCACCACTCGCCCTTGGCAAAGTCAGTCTCCCCCACGTAGCGCACCACTCCTGTCTTAGTGCCCCCCACCTGACAAGACAAAGGAGCATGATGAACAACTGCAACATCTTAGTAATTATCACGTCCAAAATACCTTGCATAGTAAGAGAAAATATAGAAAAACTGCAACTGAGGTTGATGTGAGGTTGTCTTTCTTTTTGCTCGTTTGTTTCTTGGCACCTGGTATTTATGTCATTTCAGACGCACCCAAATTGTGTATACTTGAAAAATATATAGTTTGTGACATCCTTTTCCAACTGTGCAAAGATGTTCTTACAGGTTGAAAAATAAGGTATGTATATACTGTATACCAAAAATGGTAACCATAACCATTGGGCTACTTTCAGTGACAATGGAGTGTTACCATTTTAGAAGGTGGGAGTGGGATGTTATGCATTAACACTGTATTCCATAGTGACACTAAAGGACGTCGACACATAAGGGTGAAATCAGACAGGCATCTTGGTGTTGCAAGGGGAGACATCGGAGTTGACAACAGAGCGACAGAGCTGATGTGTAATCGTGCATGACTGAAAAAGCTGATATGGCCTACATTCTGCGTCTGAAAAGGTCACAGCCGGTTATGCTAGTGCGATCAGACAGACTGATGATAAAGAAACTTACTACATCTAAAGTTCAATCGTCTACAAACAGTGGACTGATGCATACAGAGATCCATTCTCAGTGTTTTGGAATGCCATGAGAACAACAATATTGTGTCCTCTCCCAAACCCCCCAAAATATCTACGATAATCAGACGTGGTATACTGTACAGTGGGGGAAAAAAGTATTTAGTCAGCCACCAATTGTGCAAGTTCTCCCACTTAAAAAGATGAGAGAGTCCTGTAATTTTCATCATAGGTACACATCAACTATGACAGACAAAATGAGGAAAGAAAATCCAGAAAATCAAATTGTAGGATTTTTAATGAATTTATTTGCAAATTATGGTGGAAAATAAGTATTTGGTCAATAACAAAAGTTTCTCAATACTTTGTTATATACGCTTTGTTGGCAATGACACAGGTCAAACGTTTTCTGTAAGTCTTCACAAGGTTTTCACACACTGTTGCTGGTATTTTGGCCCATTCCTCCATGCAGATCTCCTCTAGAGCAGTGATGTTTTGGGGCTGTCGCTGGGCAACACAGACTTTCAACTCCCTCCAAAGATTTTCTATGGTGTTGAGATCTGGAGACTGGCTAGGCCACTCCAGGACCTTGAAATGCTTTGTCACGATCGTCTGAGGAAACGGACCAATACGCAGCGCGTGGAGTGAACATGATGACTTTATTCCAATAAACGCAACCACGAAAACAACAAACAAATGACGATAGTGAAGTCCTACAGTGACTATGACTGAACCTGGAACAAAAACCCCACAGGAAAACATACAGAAATAAATATGGCTCCCAATCAGAGATAACGAGCCGACAGCTGACACTCGTTACCTCCGATTGGGAGTCATTGACCAAACCTAGAAATACAACACTTAGAAACACCCAACCAAACATAACAAAATACACCCTGGCTCAAATACAAAAGTCCCGGAGCCAGAGTGTCACAGTACCCCACCCTAAAGGTGCGAACTCCGGGCGCACCAGCATACAGTCTAGGGGAGGGTCTGGGTGGGCGTCTGTCCACGGTGGCGGTTCTGGCCCTGGTCGTGGTCCCCACCCCACCTTAGTCACCACCCGCTTCCTAGCCTCCTCCACATGACCCCCACCGGTTTAAGGGGCAGCACCGGACTAAGAGGCAGCACCGGACTAAGGGGCAGCACCGGACTAAGGGGCAGCACCAGACTAAGGGGCAGCACCGGACTAAGGGGCAGTACCGGACTAAGGGGCAGCACCAGGATAAGGGGCAGCACCTGACTCAATGGCGGATCCCGGCTGGCTGGCTCTGGCGGATCCTGGCTGGACGGCTCTGGCGGATCCTGGCTGAACGGCTCATGGCTGGCTGAAGGATCTGGCTGCTCATGGCTGGCTGACGGATCTGGCTGCTCATGGCTGGCTGACGGATCTGGCTGCTCATGGCTGGCCGACGGATCTGGCTGCTCATGGCTGGCCGACGGATCTGGCTGCTCATGGCTGGCCGACGGATCTGGCTGCTCATGGCTGGCTGACGGATCTGGCTGCTCATGGCTGGCTGACGGATCTGGCTGCTCATGGCTGGCCGACGGATCTGGCTGCTCATGGCTGGCCGACGGATCTGGCTGCTCATGGCTGGCCGACGGATCTGGCTGCTCATGGCTGGCTGACGAATCTGGCTGCTCATGGCAGGCTGACGGATCTGGCTGATCCTGTCTGGCCGAAGGCTCTGGCTGATCCTGTCTGGCGGAAGGCTCTGGCTGATCCGGTCTGGCGGAAGGCTCTGGCTGATCCTGTCTGGCGGAAGGCTCTGGCTGATCCTGTCTGGCGGAAGGCTCTGGCTGATCCTGTCTGGCGGAAGGCTCTGGCTGATCCTGTCTGGCGGAAGGCTCTGGCTGATCCTGTCTGGCAGAAGGCTCTGGCTGATCCTGTCTGGCGGAAGGCTTTAGCAGCTCCGGTCTGGCGGACGGCTCTGACGGCTCATGGCAGACGGGCGGCTTATGCAGCGCTTGGCAGACGGACAGTTCAGACGGCGTTGGGCAGACAGGCAGTTCAGGCGCCGTTGGGCAGACGGGCAGTTCAAGCGCCGTTGGGCAGACGGGCAGTTCAGGCGCCGTTGGGCAGACGGGCAGTTCAGGCGCCGCTGGGCAGACGGGCAGTTCAGGCGCCGTTGGGCAGACGGGCAGTTCAGGCGCCGTTGGGCAGACGGGCAGTTCAGGCGCCGTTGGGCAGACGGCAGACTCTGGCCGGGCGACGCGCACCGTAGACTTGGTGCGGGTGGCAAGAACAGGCCGGACCGGGCTGGCGACGCGCACCGTAGACTTGGTGCGGGTGGCAGGAACAGGCCGGACCGGGCTGGCGACGCGCACCGTAGACTTGGTGCGGGTGGCAGGAACAGGCCGGACCGGGCTGGCGACGCGCACCGTAGACTTGGTGCGGGTGGCAGGAACAGGCCGGACCGGGCTGGCGACGCACACCGTAGACTTGGTGCGGGTGGCAGGAACAGGCCGGACCGGGCTGGCGACGCACACCGTAGACTTGGTGCGGGTGGCAGGAACAGGCCGGACCGGGCTGTGGAGACGGATAGGAGGCCTGGAGCGAACAGCGGACACCACCCGTCCTGGCTGAATGCCTACCCTCACACACTCTGTGTGAGGCATCCGCACAGGACATACAGGGCGGTGTACCCCTGGCCTGGTGGCCTCCTGGATACTCCCCCTTTTCTCCTCCGTCAGCCCCGTCGTCCATGCCGTGTGCCCCCCCCCTAAACATTTTCTGGGGTTGACTCACGACCCTCCGACGATGGCCCTGCTGCCGCCGTTGCTCCTCTCTCGCCAGGGCCTTGATCCTTCCCCAAGGTCCCTTGCCTCCGAGCATGTCCTCCCAGGACCACGATGTGCCCACCTGGGCCATCGCCAGCCTCTCTATCTCCTTGCCCGTTGCCTCCTCCCATGTCCAGTCTCCTTGCTCCTGGACACGCTGCTTGGTCTTTCTTTGGTGGGTTTTTCTGTCACGATCGTCTGAGGAAACGGACCAATACGCAGCGCGTGGAGTGAACATGATGACTTTATTCAAATAAACGCAACCACGAAAACAACAAACAAATGACGATAGTGAAGTCCTACAGTGACTATGACTGAACCTGGAACAAAAACCCCACAGGAAAACATACAGAAATAAATATGGCTCCCAATCAGAGATAACGAGCCGACAGCTGACACTCGTTACCTCCGATTGGGAGTCATTGACCAAACCTAGAAATACAACACTTAGAAACACCCAACCAAACATAACAAAATACACCCTGGCTCAAATACAAAAGTCCCGGAGCCAGAGTGTCACATGCTTCTTACGAAGCCACTCCTTCGTTGCCCGGGCAGTGTGTTTGGGATCATTGTCATGCTGAAAGACCCAGCAACGTTTCATCTTCAATGCCCTTGCTGATGGAAGGAGGTTTTCACTCAAAATCTCACGATACATGGCCCCATTCATTCTTTCCTTTACACGGATCAGTCGTCCTGGTCCCATTGCAGAAAAACAGCCCCAAAGCATGATGTTTCCACCCCCATGCTTCACAGTAGGTATGGTGTTCTTTGGATGCAACTCAGCATTCTTTGTCCTCCAAACACGACGAGTTTAGTTTTTACCAAAAAGTTATATTTTGGTTTCATCTGACCATATGACATTCTCCCAATCCTCTTCTGGATCATCCAAATGCACTCTAGCAAACTTCAGACGGGCCTGGACATGTACTGGCTTAAGCAGGGGGACACGTCTGGCACTGCAGGATTTGAGTCCCTGGCGGTGTAGTGTGGTACTGATGGTAGGCTTTGTTACTTTGGTCCCAGCTCTCTGCAGGTCATTCACTAGGTCCCCCCGTGTGGTTCTGGGATTTTTGCTCACCGTTCTTGTGATCATTTTGACCCCACAGGGTGAGATCTTGCGTGGAGCCCCAGATCGAGGGAGATTATCAGTGGTCTTGTATGTCTTCCATTTCCTAATAATTGCTCCCACAGTTGATTTCTTCAAACCAAGCTGCTTACCTATTGCAGATTCAGTCTTCCCAGCCTGGTGCAGGTCTACAATTTTGTTTCTGGTGTCCTTTGACAGCTCTTTGGTCTTGGCTATAGTGGAGTTTGGAGTGTGACTGTTTGAGGTTGTGGACAGGTGTCTTTTATACTGATGACAAGTTCAAACAGGTGCCATTAAAACAGGTAACGAGTGGAGGACAGAGGAGCCTCTTAAAGAAGAAGTTACAGGTCTGTGAGAGCCAGAAATCTTGCTTGTTTGTAGGTGACCAAATACTTATTTTCCACCATAATTTGCAAATAAATTCATTAAAAATCCTACAATGTGATTTTCTGGATTTTTTTTCTCAATTTGTCTGTCATAGTTGACGTGTACCTATGATGAAAATTACAGGCCTCTCTCATCTTTTTAAGTGGGAGAACTTGCACAATTGGTGGCTGACTAAATACTTTTTTCCCCACTGTATATACAACTTTCCAATCATCATCATGGCATGCAGTAGGCTATAGGCTACCTATACTGCAGCAAATTTACCTGTCATAAGAAAACAATTACCAGCTGATGAGATAAATGCACTGTGCACAGCGCTTCATACGGAGATACGCTGTCTGTCCCCAAGCAGCACCAACAATATACTTTGGGAATGCCCCACTAATGATTGGCATGTGATTCGCTAGTGTCAAAGGAGGCCGAACCGACGAGAAAACCAGATTCTCCGGGAGAATCTGACCCAACCACATCCAACATGCATCTGGCGTGCTCCGAACTCAAATGCACATACAGTACCAGTCAAAGGTTTGGACACACCTACTCATTCCAGGGTTTTTCTTTATTTTTACTATTTTCTACATTGTACAATAATAGTGAAGACATCAAAACTATGAAATAACACATGAAATCATGTAGTTACCAAAAAAGTGTTAAACAAATCAAAATATATTTTATATTTGAGATTCTTCAAATAGCCACCCTTTGTCTTCATGACAGCTTTGCACACTCTTGGCATTCTCTCAACCAGCTTCATGAGGTAGTCACCTGGAATGCATTTCAATTAACAGGTGGGCCTTCTTAAAAGTTAATTTGTGGAATTTCTTTCCTTCTTAATGCGTTTGAGCCAATCAGTTGTGTTGTGACAAGGTAGGGGGTGTATACAGAAGATAGCCCTATTTGGTAAAAGTTCAAGTCCATATTATGGCAAGGACAGCTCAAATAAGCAAAGAGAAACAACAGTCCATCATTACTTTAAGACATGAAGGTCAGTCAACACGGAAAATGTCAAGAACTTTGAACGTTTCTTCAAGTGCAATCTCTCATGAGAACCGCCACAGGAATGGAAGACACAGAGTTACCTCTGCTGCAGAGGATAAGTTCATTAGAGTTACCAGCCTCAGAAATTACAGCCCAGAGTTCAAGTAACAGACACATCTCAACATCAACTGTTCAGAGGGGACTGTGTGAATCAGGCCTTCATAGTCGAATTGCTGCAAAGAAACCACTACTAAAGGACACCAATAAGAAGAGACCTGCTTGGGCCAAGAAACACGAGCAATGGACATTAGACCGGTGGAAATGTGTCCTTTGGTCTGGGGTCCAAGTGTGAGATTTTTGGTTCCAACCGCCGTGTCTTTGTGAGACGTGGTGTGGGTGAACGGATGATCTCCGCATGTGTATTTCTCACCGTAAAGCATGGAGGAGGTGTTATGGTGTGGGGGTGCTTTGCTGGTGACACTGTCTGTGATTTATTTAGAATTCAAGGCACACTTAACCAGCATGGCTAACACAGCATTCTACAGCGATACGCCATCCCATCTAGTTTGGGCTTAGTGGGACTATCAATTGTTTCTCAACAGGACAATGACCCAACACACCTCCAGGCTGTGTAAGGGGTATTTTACCAAGAAGGAGAGTGTTGGAGTGCTGCATCAGATGACCTGGCCTCCACAATCCCCCGACCTCAACCCAATTGAGATGGTTTGGGATGAGTCGGACCACAAAGTGAAGGAAAAGCAGCCAACAAGTGCTTAGCATATGTGGGAACTCCTTCAAGACTGTTGGAAAAGCATTCCAGGTGAAGCTGGTTGAGAGAATGCCAAGAGTGTGCAAAACTGTCATCAAGGCAAAGGGTGGCTATTTGAAGAATCTCAAATATAAAATATATTTTGATTTGTTTAACACTTTTCTGGTTACTACATGATTCCATATGTGTTATTTCATGGCTTTGATGTCTTCACTAATGTTCTACAATGTAAAACATAGTAAAAATAAAGAAAAACCCTTGAATGAGTAGGTGTGTCCAAACTTTTGACTGGTAGTGTTTAAGCAACGGTACTTACGTAGCCCGAGTTGGCTAGAAGTAAATCCACTCTAACTGTGGAAAAACACAGGTAGAGCTGATACCACCTCTGTCTGTAACAGTGGGAAAAAAAATTGTGCATCAATATATTCATGTTTTTTTTTATTATTATTTTTTTTTTACATTTCTGTGTATTTAATGTAAACCCACTGTTAACACATACATATTTAGGATCTTAATTTGAGCCAGTTTGCTACAGCAGGAAAATAATCCTGCAGCAACATGAAATGTGAAATATTATGTGAATTATAATTAATGGACATTTTCTGTAGGGGTTGAAACATTTCTTGTTAGGGCAAATCAAGACTGACATTTTAAAGTGGAAATTACAAACTTTAGAAGCCTTTTTAAACCTTGAATACACTACAAGTTTGCATTTCCTGCTGTGCAGGAAAATTCTCAGCAACAAAAGTGTGATCAAATTAAGATCATACATCTGTATGTTAACTGTTGAATATTAATAGAAAAAACTGAAACATTGAAAGAGCTTTAGATGACTTGATATTGTGTTTCTTTGTTACTCTATTGAATATTAGTGGCACGTTTTTCATTTAAAAAATACGGGTGATAGAAATGGAAGTAATCCAAATGTAATCAGATTATTATTATTACTAATTTAAGAGTAATAATAGAGTAATCCAATGTATTATGTTACTAATTACTTTCGTTGCCATGTAATCTATAATCAACAACTGATTAAAATGTTCAAATCATCCGCCCAACCCCAAAACAATAACCTAACAAACAACTGGCCAATCGCCAATGAGTGAAATAACCTTTCTTTGATCTTCACTAAACCAAAATAAACAAATAAACCAATATAAATACAGGTTCTTAATGATCGATTCAATATCATATCTCTTTCCACATAAACAAGAAATATACAGGATTTTTTAAATAAACAGGTTGAACACACACATTATGTCATCATGGTCATCATCCTAGAGGCCAAACAATGACATCATCCATGCCATCGTGCATCTTTTACTCAAAGCACTACAAGGAGCAGAACAATGAAATTCAGTCTAAATTCATCTGATGACAAAACCTGGTATTGCTTTCACTCTCTTTTCAATCCCCCAAAGGACTCCCCTGTTCTTTCACAGACAGCCATATTGATTCCATTTTTCTAAATGGTATGATGGCAACACAAAGGCAGATAACAAAAGACTGAGATGTTATTGCTCCACAAGCCTCGAGCCAGGCCCATCTCCCGGCTATCTACCTCTCTGTCAACCGGACGGGACCTCCTAGTGTTGACACGGAGCCCAGCCGATCCAACACGACTGGTCTGCCGACGAAATCGTCTGATGTGGTTTCAACAGGCTTCCCGTTACGACGTCGACCACGAAGATCCATCTGCTAGCCCCGGCCCGCTCCCTAAGTTTGAGTTATTCACTGCGTTAGCACACTCCGCCAACCCTGATGTTCTAGCAGTGTCTGAATCCTGCATTAGGAAGGCCACCATAAATTCATGAATGTCCATCCCCAACTACAACATTTTCCATCTCGATAAAACTGCCAAAGGGGGTGGGGTTGCAATCTACTGTAGAGATAGCCTGCAGAGCTCTATCGTACTATCCAGGTCTGTGCCCAAACAGTTTGAGCTCCTACTTCTAAAAATCCACCTTTCCAGAAATAAGTCTCTCACTGTTGCCGCTTGCTACAGACCCCCCTCAGCCCCGAGCTGTGCCCTGGACACCATATGTGAACTGATTGCCCCCCATCTATCCTCAGAGTTCATACTGCTTGGTGACCTAAACTGGTACAGTGGGGAGAACAAGTATTTGATACACTGGCGATTTTGCAGGTTTTCCTACTTACAAAGCATGTAGAGGTCTGTAATTTTTACCATAGGTACACTTCAACTGTGAGAGACGGAATCTAAAACAAAAATCCAGAAAATCACATTGTATGACTTTTAAGTAATTAATTTGCATTTTATTGGATGACATAAGTATTTGATACATCAGAAAAGCAGAACTTAATATTTGGTACAGAAACCTTTGTTTGAAATTACAGAGATCATACGTTTCCTGTAGGTCTTGACCAGGTTTGCACACACTGCAGCAGGGATTTTGGCCCACTCCTCCATACAGACCTTCTCCAGATCCTTCAGGTTTCGGGGCTGTCACTGGGCAATACGGACTTTCAGCTCCCTCCAAAGATTTTCTATTGGGTTCAGGTCTGGAGACTGGCTAGGCCACTCCAGGACCTTGAGATGCTTCTTACGGAGCCACTCCTTAGTTGCCCTGGCTGTGTGTTTCGGGTCGTTGTCATGCTGGAAGACCCAGCCACGACCCATCTTCAATGCTCTTACTAAGGGAAGGAGGTTGTTGGCCAAGATCTCGCGATACATGGCCCCATCCATCCTCCCCTCAATACGGTGCAGTCGTCCTGTCCCCTTTGCAGAAAAGCATCCCCAAAGAATGATGTTTCCACCTCCATGCTTCACGGTTGGGATGGTGTTCTTGGGGTTGTACTCATCCTTCTTCTTCTTCCAAACACGGCGAATGGATTTTAGACCAAAAAGTTCTATTTTTGTCTCATCAGACCACATGACCTTCTCCCATTCCTCCTCTGGATCATCCAGATGGTCATTGGCAAGCTTCAGACGGGCCTGGACATGCGCTGGCTTGAGCAGGGGGACCTTGCGTGCGCTGCAGGATTTTAATCCATGATGGCGTAGTGTGTTACTAATTGTTTTCTTTGAGACTGTGGTCCCAGCTCTCTTCAGGTCATTGACCAGGTCCTGCCGTGTAGTTCTGGGCTGATCCCTCACCTTCCTCATGATCATTGATGCCCCACGAGGTGAGATCTTGCATGGAGCCCCAGACCGAGGGTGATTGACCGTCATCTTGAACTTCTTCCATTTTCTCATAATTGCGCCAACAGTTGTTACCTTCTCATCAAGCTGCTTGCCTATTGTCCTGTAGGCCATCCCAGCCTTGTGCAGGTCTACTATTTTATCCCTGATGTCCTTACACAGCTCTCTGGTCTTGGCCATTGTGGAGAGGTTGGAGTCTGTTTGATTGAGTGTGTGGACAAGTGTCTTTTATACAGGTAACAAGTTCAAACAGGTGCAGTTATTACAGGTAATGAGTGGAGAACAGGAGGGCTTCTTAAAGAAAAACTAACAGGTCTGTGAGAGCCGGAATTCTTACTGGTTGGTAGGTGATCAAATACTGATGTCATGCAATAAAATGCTAATTAATTACTTAAAAATCATACAATGTGATTTTCTGGATTTTTGTTTTAGATTCTGTCTCTCACAGTTGAAGTGTACCTATGATAAATTACAGACCTCTACATGCTTTGTAAGTAGGAAAACCTGCAAAATCAGCAGTGTATCAAATACTTGTTCTCCCCACTGTATATGCTTAACACCCCGGCCAACCTACAATCTAAACTACATGCCCTCAATCTCACACAAATTATCAATGAACCTACCAGGTACAACCTTAAATCTGTAAACATGGGCACCCTCATAGATATCATCCTGACAAATTTACCCTCTAAATACACCTCTGCTGTCTTCAACCAGGATCTCAGCGATCACTGCCTTATTGCCTGCGTCCGTAATGGGTTCGTGGTCAAACGACCACCCCTCATCACTGTCAAACGCTCCCTAAAACACTTTAGCGAGCAGGCTTTTCTAAATGACCTGGCCCGGGTATCCTGGATGGATATTGACCTCATTCCGTCAGTAGAGGATGCCTTGTTGTGCTTTTCTCTCAATCTTAAATAAGCATGCCCCATTCAAAAAATTCTGAACTAAGAACAGATATAGCCCCTGGTTCTCCTCAGACTTGACTGCCCTTGACCAGCACAAAAACATCCTGTGGCGTACTGCATTAGCATCGAACAGCCCCCGCGATATGCAACTTTTCAGGGAAGTCAGGAACCAATATACACAATCAGATAGGAAAGCAAAGGCTAGCTTTTTCAAACAGAAATTTGCATCCTGTAGCACTAACTCCAAAAAGTTTTGGGACACTGTAAAGTCCATGGAAAATAAGAGCACCTCCTCCCAACTGCCCACTGCACTGAAGCTAGGAAACACTGTCACCACCGATAAATCTACAATTATCGAGAATTTCAACAGGCATTTTGCTACGGCTGGCCATGCTTTCCACCTGGCTACCACTACCCCGGCCACCAGCTCTGCACCCTCCGCTGCAACTTGCCCATGCCCCCCCCCCCCCCCAGGTCAAAGGTCAAAACAGGTCAAATATCTCTGATGACTGAGACTCCTTCACATCCACATATGGTGCACATTTGTACGTGAAATATGAGTCACTGGAACATTCTCACTTCCCCTGAGAAGAAAAGCTCCAGCTTGACGTGGCAGACAGACACATTCATCACCCGTGAATCTACATAGAGATAACAAAAACACTGCCAAAGAACGTCCAGTCCTCTCTTCCTAACTCACGTTGTTTACTTAAACCTGCACAGCATGACACACCACGACCAAAACAGCTTTCACACCAAGGAAAACATACTGCATGAAACAGACCACAACCTAGCTTGTCAAAACATAAGGAGAAGACATGGACCTCGGTTGTCAAAATAGGAGACCTCGCTGGTTTGCTGTTATCTGAGTGTTCCCTGCCATTCAGAACTTCCATCACTAACCCGTCCATTTCCACCGGCCGGGAACGTGAAAACTGTGATGGAAAACTGTGAAGCAAAGTGTGAAAGCCACGAGGCAAAACACAGTAGTGGGCTGCTTGTGATGCCAGTTGGATGGATAGATGACTGCACAAGGATTCACAGATTAAAGCCTGAGAGTGCCTGCCAGCAGTGGAGAGACAGCGAGTCAGCAACATACTGTAAGCCTCCTCTTGGCTACTGCCTCTCTAACTTCCAGCTTATCTGGAAGTTGGCCTGAGATGTGACTCAGAACTACTCAGCTTTAATGCCAAGACACAGAGAGCTACACCAGGGCATTAGGCTGTGATATCTTTGTCTATGATTTCAAATGGAGGTTAGACAGACACTGTATCTTATAGTCCAAGGTGATATGAATTGTAGCCCTTAGGCTCTCTTAAGACATCATATTGAGGATGTGTAAGAACAGTCCTATGAGTCAGTTAGTTTGCCTTGCATGCAAAAAATATATAACTTAGATATTGTTATCAATAAAACAGAATTAATAGAGATGGTTAAATGTTATTTACGGGTTATTTTGCACAGAATCACTGTATTACAGAAGAGTATTAGGGCCAAGTGAAGGGAAAAAATAAACGGTGATGCGTGTTTTCTTTTTTGCATGGATAGTACTTCGAAATACTTTGAGAGAGTTGAAATTTAGAGAATAAAGTCCAAATTAAATTAGGTGAATAGTCGCAATATTTCCAGAATAAAATCAAAATTTAATTTTGAGAATAAAGTCTACAACTTTTGAGATTTTTAGTAGGCTACTGCTACCTAACGGTGTTCTGTACACAATGTGCGTAGCCGCGGCATTCAAACGAGGCTGCAATGAAAACTAATGGGACTGTAGCGACTGTGTTAGCATCAAAATCCGGGGTGTTAGCAACGTTTCTATTCAAGCGTTGATTGACATGGTAATGGACCAATAGTATTCGAGAAAATATGAAAACACTGACCCCTCTGACGCTTTACGTTACATCGTGACGTGTCACGACATAACGTACAGCATGCATTATGCAACTCATTGTGTGCCATACATTCGCTTTCCACCAGGGGTAGCGCGTCTCTCGCAGATTAAAAACATGCTTAACCATACACTTGTAAGAAACCTTCTTTATTATGGTCCCGTGTGGCTCAGTTGGTAAAGCATGGCGCTTTCAACGGCAGGGTTGTGAGTTTGATTCCCACGGGGGACCAATATGTAAGTTGCTCTGGATAAGAGTGTCTACTAAATGATGTAGATGGAAATTATTAATTATCTTCGTTTAAATGAGCATTAGTATTATTATGGCTAATATATATATATATATATTTTTTAATGAGTAGCGTGCTAATAGCAGTTTTTTGCTCTCACGTTTGCTGCGTTCACATGTTTTGAAATACAGTGAGGGAAAAAAGTATTTGATCCCCTGCTGATTTTGTACGTTTGCCCACTGACAAAGAAATTATCAGTCTATAATTTTAATGGTAGGTTTATTTGAACAGTGAGAGACAGAATAACAACAAAAAAATCCAGAAAAACGCTAAAATTTTATAAATTTGTTAGCATTTTAATGAGGAAAATAAGTATTTGACCCCCTCTCAATCAGAAAGATTTCTGGCTCCCAGGTGTCTTTTATACAGGTAACGAGCTGAGATTAGGAGCACACTCTTAAAGGGAGTGCTCCTAATCTCAGCTTGTTACCTGTATAAAATACACCTGTCCACAGAAGCAATCAATCAATCAGATTCCAAACTCTCCATCATGGCCAAGACCAAAGAGCTCTCCAAGGATGTCAGGGACAAGATTGTAGACCTACACAAGGCTGGAATGGGCTACAAGACCATCGCCAAGCAGCTTGGTGAGAAGGTGACAACAGTTGGTGCGATTATTCGCAAATGGAAGAAACACAAAATAACTGTCAATCTCCCTCGCCCTGGGGCTCCATGCAAGATCTCACCTCGTGGAGTTGCAATGATTGCAAGAAAACAATTGGTAACACACTACGCCGTGAAGGACTGAAATCCTGCAGTGCCCGCAAGGTCCCCCTGCTCAAGAAAGCACATATACAGGCCTGTCTGAAGTTTGCCAATGAACATCTGAATGATTCAGAGGAGAACTGGGTGAAAGTGTTGTGGTCAGATGAGACCAAAATGGAGCTCTTTGGCATCAACTCAACTCGCCGTGTTTGGAGGAGGAGGAATGCTGCCTATGACCCCAAGAACACCATCCCCACCGTCAAACATGGAGGTGGAAACATTATGCTTTGGGGGTGTTTTTCTGCTAAGGGGACAGGACAACTTCACCGCATCAAAGGGACGATGGACGGGGCCATGTACCGTCAAATCTTGGGTGAGAACCTCCTTCCCTCAGCCAGGGCATTGAAAATGGGTCGTGGATGGGTATTCCAGCATGACAATGACCCAAAACACACGGCCAAGGCAACAAAGGAGTGGCTCAAGAAGAAGCACATTAAGGTCCTGGAGTGGCCTAGCCAGTCTCCAGACCTTAATCCCATAGAAAATCTCTGGAGGGAGCTGAAGGTTCGAGTTGCTAAACGTCAGCCTCGAAACCTTAATGACTTGGAGAAGATCTGCAAAGAGGAGTGGGACAAGATCCCTCCTGAGATGTGTGCAAACCTGGTGGCCAACTACAAGAAACGTCTGACCTCTGTGATTGCCAAAAAGGGCTTTGCCACCAAGTACTAAGTCATGTTTTGCAGAGGGGTCAAATACTTATTTCCCTCATTAAAATGCAAATCAATTCATAACATTTTTGACATGTTATTCATTTTTTGTTGTTATTCTGTCTCTCACTGTTCAAATAAACCTACCATTAAAATTATAGACTGATCATGTCTTTGTCAGTGGGCAAACGTACAAAATCAGCAGGGTATCAAATACTTTTTTCCCTCACTGTACCTTTGCTGTGCCAACCTATTCACGAGTGCTGTGTTCAATAATTGTGAAATCTCATGTGTGCAATAACCCATGTCAATAACGCACGTCCCAAACTCTCACGTGTGCTATCTATTAAAGTTGTTTGCAAATGACATTCTCTAACCCAAATTGAGACGTGACATTCCTGCTTCTCTCTTTCTGCTCTTGATTGTGCTCAGGTGAAGAAAATGAACTGGACTCCCTAAAAAACCAAAGTGCACACTCAGTTCGGTGACCTTTTACAGCATGTCACCATACTGCAAAAGTTATTAACTATGTGGAATGTTTTTGGACCATTGGCTTCCCTGTAAACAGGTACTGACATGAGGCACGAGCCACCTCCCTCAGGATCCTCCCTGCCTTCTACTCCTCGTTAGCAGCCTGTAGCTGTTCGGAGGTGTAGCAGCGCCGTTTCTGGGGCTCTTGTTGTGCCTTTCCCTTTCCAGACATTCCCTGTCAAAATACAATTAAATATGTATTTTTTTTTGTGTTCATGCAACATCATTTATTAAGATAGTGCCAAGGAAATGGACTCACAAATGTGGATATCATTTCCATGTAATCCAACATAACGTTATTGCATATTTGATGGAAACAGCAGGTGGATAAGAGCGTCTGCTAAATGACCTAAATGTAAATGTAATGTGTTCCTGTACACTCAGTGTATATGATGGAGTAAGAGGACAGATGTGAGTTCGGGTTACAACTGTTGTTAGTTGTTATATTTCTTTTTTATATTAATATTGTTGCTTTATACAGTAATTTACTAACGTTAAGTAGTTTATCAAATTATTTATCTTGTGCTATTGGAAGTTATAATATTAACCCTAATCATTCTCATGCTTTGTTCATTAACATTATATAAAGTAACATTATGTTCCTTCATCTCTCTCTTTGAACAGAATCACATCCATTCCCTCTGAAAATAAAGTTCCCTACCTTGTGTATCTCATATATTTAACAGTATTTATTTATTTATCAAGACATTATCAATGAGTGTAAAGTTAATTAATCGTGAGTTCATCAATAGTTAATTCAATCAATAGTCAATAGTCACTGCGAGCCAACATGACTCTCAAAAGCCGTGACAGCCGCAATTTACTTGAAGTAAAGGCCATTTTTTAAAAGACCCGGCGAAGCTCCATTGCCTTCTTTAATCATGCAGAGACGGGCAGCGTGGAGGTCTCGTCGTTGATTTTGCTGTAAAGGGGAGAAATTGTGCTTTACAATAGTATTAATATTACAGTTGACCTGACAATTTTTGGTGCTACAATAAGGTCAAGTGTACGTAACACTGTGATGTACGGAACACCATTAGGTAGCAGTACAGCAGGATAATTTTCTCAGCCATAATCACATGCGACCGCTGGATCATCAGCACGGAGCACTGTACACAGTTGTACGGAAAACATATTAGGAACTCTGTCACCCCTCCTCCTCAGACCTCACCCCTCAAGGTCCCGTGTAGTTCAGTTGGTAGAGCATGGCGTTTGCAACGCCAGGGTTGTGGGTTCGATTCCCACGAGGGGCCAGTATGAAAAAACAAAACAATTTATGCACTCACTAACTGTAAGTCGCTCTGGATAAGAGCGTCTGCTAAATGACTTAAATGTAAGTATCAACCCTGCACTAGTCAAGTGTCACCATTCCTCTTAAACCCTCCTCACCCCTGCATTGGTCAGTTATCACCCCTGCTCTAGTCAAGCCTCACTTCTCCTTCTCACCCCTTGCACTTATTCACAATAATTAGCTTTTCCATTGGCCGAAATACATGCTAAGAGCTGACAACCACAACAAC